AAATGTAGTTACCCACCATTTAAAGGGCATTAATAAGGTGTCAATTGATGAATTTGGTCATGTTAATTTAAATGTTGATCTTGCTAAGGAAAAATTAAAGGAAATCTTTTTAATTAAGAGAAATATTTTGTTTCAAATATAAGGCCAGAGACATATAATATTACCGTATATGTCTCTGATAAGGCTTAATAAGGTCCTTTGTAATTATTCACTAAGATTTGTTTTTGGCAATTATCATTGCAGCCTCTTTTTTTGTGTGTCTGTAAACTTTGTGCAGATTTTTTGTTTTTCTTGCATAATAGGAGTTACATTTGCATTTTACTCAAGTTACTTACATTTGATGGAATATGTCTTTACCTGCCCACTTTTTCAAAAAAAGAATATTTCTAGGAAGTGTTAATCTGCCTGATCTTTTGTGCTTTATACTATACATTGTACGTGTTTTCACAGATGTAATGAATGATCTACCAACATTTACCTGCTGCAAGTGTTATACTAAATTTAATTTTTCCCCAGTGCAAATCTAAAACAAAAGCTTACACAGTTGCCTTTTTACCAAAGTACATGTACTTAAGTTATTTTGATAGTAAAATGCAAATGTTGAAATAAAAATAGAATACTTTAACATGTAAATTATGCAAAACATTCAATGAATGAACCATGACTTAAGGAATAGGGACAAACAACCTCCATTAAATGAGATGTGCTTCTGCTAATACAAATGCATACCAAATATCACTGACCTACCACTAGTGGTTCCCCATAAATCAACCTAATCACAAACTAAAACAAATAAACCAAGCAAAAGTTTCAAAGTGAATAGACCATGACTGAGGGGGAGGCCCAAATAATCTCTATGGAAATGAGATGTGCCAATGCTTATATAACTGCTACCAAATTTTATTGACTTACCACTAGTGGTTTCCAGTCCTAATCACAAACTAATACATGTAAGCTAACAAAAAGTTTCAAAGTCAACAGGCCATGAATGAGGGTGCAGGACCAAATAATCTCCATGGAAATGAGATGTGCCAATGCTAATACAACTGCACACCAAATATTATTGACCTACCACTAGTGGTTTCCCATAAACAGACCTAATCACAAACTAATACATGTAAACTAAGCAAAAATTTAAAGTCAGTAGACCATGACTGAGGGGACGGGGCCAAATAATCACCATGGAAATGAAATGTGCCAATGCCAATGCTTATACAATCAGGGACGGATCCAGCCATTTTTAAGAGGGTGGTTCCAACCATATGTCCCCATTCAAAAGCATTAATCGTCAAAAATGGGGGGTTGGGTTTCCAACCTCCACGGACCCCCCCCCCCCCCCCCCCCCCCCCCTCGCCCCTGGATCCCCCACTGACAATTGCATACCAAATATCATTGACCTACCACTAGTGGTTCCCAAAGGGTTTTGCTCATTTACAGTGACCTATAATTGTTTAAATCCATGTTATTTGGACTCTGTTGGATAGTTGTCTCATTTACAGTCATGCCATATCTCCTAATTTTAAAAACAAAATCTCCTTCAAAGAGCTAATTTAGACAACAGGTCTCCTTCTAAACACTTCCAAGAGGTTAATGTATTGTACGAATCTTAATTCCATACTTTGTTTAAAAAGATTCTTTCTATTGTACCAGTTATGGAATTGATTGTACAATGTACTTTAACCTGTAATTGAAAAGCACATACATAAATAATTCTAACCTTGAATATTCATGAGCTGAGCTAGAATTCTTAAATAAAACTATTTACACAGAGATGCCTCCCCTGTATGTAATTTTGATAGTTACCATTAGCAGTTCCCCTTCCACTGACCTAATGACAAAATTTAACAAATTGATGATGCTGCCGCCAGAAACTTCATGTCTAAGTCCTGCTTTTGCAACTTCATCCAGGCAAGACAAAAATAATTATCAAATCTTTTTACACTAAACTATATATGCTAGAAGTTTTGTTAATTGAAAATTTAAAGAAAAATGACTGTTTTGGCAAAGCATTTCAATATTTAAAACTATGCATTTGCAGTCAAATACACCATACATTTCATTCAGATTTGACTCTGATAGGGTGAGGGATAGTTTGTCATGCATTCTTTTAGTTTCCTTATACATACATACAAATCACATTTAAATGTACAGAAATTGTCTCCCTTGATTTTTTATATAAATCAGTAAGAAATCCAGTACCTACCTTCTGATCAAGCACTCACTTATATGGAAGTCTGGTCATACTGTTTATCTTTTTATTTCTAATGTTTAATAAATTAAATTCGATATATATCTATGACAGAATGTTGAGAGGCTATTCTCAAGTTTGATAATGGCTATATTGTATTGTGATGAAACAATCTCACCTGACATAATTTTCTCCAGAAGGCCTTGAAAGACTGTTTTATGTCCTTTTGCTATCTTAAAGGCATAGTCATTTTCTTTTTTTATTTGTTTCACTTGCAAAGTCAAAATTGGAAACGATGAAATCTCATAGAATTCCAATATTGAAAAGCCTAATACATTTTTAAAAATCCAAACATTTGTACAAACATGTATATTCATAATACCAAAGTGTTATGCAGCCCTTAACCTTTAACCAAATATTGCCAATTTCTAACTGAAGGACATTCAGAACAAACAGAAATTTATCTGTACTAAAAGACAGTACACTGATACACTTTTTGAAATATTTTTTATTTTGGTTTGAAAACGTCCTAAATATTCAAATTTCTAGATAAATACAGTATAATAAAAATCTATCAAAACTACAGTTTTGTGTCCATATTTAACCTTTAAGTAATAAAATAACACTCTGCTTGTGATATAAATAAATGGGAAATTGGCCTTAATTCTTTGTTTCGCCAGAAAAAACACACATGAAAGGGGTGTTCATTACTGTTTACGACCAACAACAAAAGCAAAACATTGAGAGCAATTTATTAATATAATATAAATAAATATCTAAATTTAACAAATTAGTTGATAACAAAGCACTATCTATACATGCCTTCATTTGTAAACATATAAAGATTAATAGGGAATTTATGCACTATACAGGAAAATTTTTGCATGTAATTAAGAAAGAAAAAGCTATTGGTATACAACTTGAATATTGTGGAAATTATACAAATTTGCTATGTATTGCAAATTTCCACCAATGTATATACAGGACATGCAAACAATATGCAAAGTAACACTATTTCTTTAAATAAAATAATAATGATCACATATAAATCATTTGCATAAATCAGTATGATTTTACAGCGACAAACATGTTTTGGGCCGTTTCTGATTTATATGAAATTTATTATTTCTGCATCTAAATATTGAAAAATTGTATATGTAGCATTTAATTTATATGCATGTTATATATCATAAAAACAGAAATATTCTTAGCAATGACATAATTCCAAACAAACTTCTGTGGCAGTTTTTTTGAAAAATCACTTTAGAGGGAAAATAAAACTGATATCTATGATAGAATATACATGCATTCTATACATTCATACATCTCTTTTATAATGTTTTAACTTATTGATCTCTAGAAGTAACAAGAGGCTGTCAGAGTGACAGCAAACTGGATTTCCTGCAGAGGTCGAACCCTGAACAGTTGAGCAAGTATGGACACTACATTAGCTTAAAGCAGCTCTGAATTTGGATTGTGATTGAATATTTGACACAGCATAGGTTTGTGACACAAAATGAATGTGGTCAACTGAAAAATTTGAAATTGGACATTTCCCTATTTTGGTCCAATATCCAAAATGAAACACAGTTTTAGTTTTATCCATATAATTTTCTGTTCAAAGGGTAATAACTCAAACTGAATAAATGTTAAACACATAGTTCTCTAATATTAGATATGATTTAATCACTACAAAATAGTTCTCTAAAATTAGATATGATGTTATATATATCTATTTTCAAATTATAATCAAAGATATGATTTAACCACTAAAAATAGTTCTCTAAAATTAGATATGATGTTACACAATGTATATCTATTTTCAAATTATAATCAAATATAATTAATAGTTCCAAAATATTTTTTCTTTCATTTGTCACAAACTAATATAGATCTGCAACTTATCTATCAATGTCAACAACTTTATCTACACAATGTAATGTAATGAAATATATCCTTTAATAAAAATAGATTATTGGAGTTCACTTCATCAAAAAAAAATATATATATAGCATTCAGAAAACTGGTTTATACAGAATAACAAACAAACCTACCACAAAATTCCTCAAACAATTTACCAAAGAAAAGAAAAAAATCCAATACAATGTCTTTTAAAAATCTTTTAAAATATGAGTTATTTCCCTTTGAACAGAAATGGAGTAATTAATAAGTATTACATCAAAAATTGAAGTCTTGGGAAAGGGCTATAACTCAACAACCAGAAAAGCTAAAATCGTGAAAATTAAACTTGACCTTCATTTAATCACAGGAAACAACATATCTAAATTGGAAAAAATTTCGTCAAAGGGTTTTCATGTTAATGAACGGACACTGTTTGGCAGCTGCCCGCCTGCCGTACATCCCCAAATCAATAACAGATTTTTCCTTCGAAAATCCAGTTAAAAATGCTACATTATATAATTTGTTTTTATATTCAGATGCAGTTAAACGAGTTCTACAAAACTTCATGAAAACAGAGTGCTCAATAACATATACTTTTGTCTAAAAATCAACATGCATCAGTGAACAAATGTACAGATATCATTTCAACACAGAACACACAATACCAGGTTTACAAAAGTGAAGTTCATATATTATAACAATAAATACAATGAACCGTTTATTCAAAAGTCTTCATATTTTACAGAATCTTCCCATTTACATCAAAAACAAGATTGTCAGTTCCGCAAAAATCAACACTTGTTCAGACCCTGATCAGTTAGTCACTTGTGGTAAATCTTTATAATATCTAGAGCTGCTTCATTCCCAGAATTTCAATTTAGGAAGGTTTCAAGAGATGCTTTTCAGCAAGTTACTTCACAAGTGATAGAATCTTGGTTATTTCCTCAGCTACTTCCTTCCCAGAATCCCTATTTAAGAACGTTTCATGAGATCCATTGTAGAATGTTATATGAACTTTTCCAGTACACCCAGCTCTGTAGTCCGTAGTCTACTGGCAGGTGTTCACACATCACTGGGTCTGATTTAATACGTAATAAATGTATATCACCTACAAAAATAAAATTAAACCAGGTTAACTAAATACGTCATATGAATATTCTACCTATCAAGATATAATAAAAATAAATGTTTACATATCAATTGTCATTGTTTCTGAAAAAAAAGCCTGTTATTTTTATTTAGGATACTGCATCACCATACCCTTTATTTTGCATTGCCTGACCTATTCACATCGACACATCAACTTTAAAGGGGACAAATAGCAATAACTTACTAACTAAATTATAAGAGGTATATGAAAACGTTTTCAGCATTTCATTAAGTTTTGAGCTGCAGTTTTGATGGAACATGTTTTAAACATGTATCTAATACTGTAAATTCAGAAATTATTGCGAATGGACTAAAATGTGAGCTTAATTATTGCGACTTCAGGAAAATTTGCTTATAGTTTTATGTATCAGATATAAGAATGCAAGTTCTTATTATTGTGATACTCATTCAGTTAGGGAGCAGAAGTTTGACAGATCCAAAAGTGCTCACACATTACAACTCATCACTCCCAAGCTGCTGAAGTCATTCTGTTCAGTAGTACTGGAGAAATGTGGGACAAATAATTTTAAATTCATTCAACATATTGAAAAATTCAAAGTATCTGTAAACAAGAAGTAATAGTCTGACAGATACAAAAGCACAAACAAGTAACAACTCATAACTGTCAAGCTGCTGACTACATATTAAGTCATTCTGTTCATCAGTACTGTAGAAATATGTGTCAAAAACATTTATGTCCATTCAACATGTTGAAAATTTCAAATTATTTGCAAACAGGAAGTTGGTGTCTGAACAGATCAGAAAAGAAGCTTTTTGTCCAGTAATAGCTGAGAAAAGTGATGGAAACATTTGTTTTGATGAACAGACAAAGGACAAGATGAATGCAATAAAGTCCCTATTCTTAAGAGTTGTGTATCATAATAATAACAATATATATTCTATAGAAGAAAGATGTAAGCCATGGCAAACTTAACTTTATTCAGAAATCATTTGTCTAGGCTTACAGGATGACTAGTATAAGATCAATGATTTTTTTTTCTAGAGCAGGAAATGACACTGCATAGCAAAGAAATATGACAATTTTTTCAAGCACTTCCTTTTCAGGTATAAAACCACTAATTTATAGCCCCATTGCTTTCTATGTTAAATTCTGCAATTTCAAGCATAAATGGCTACTTTATCTTAAGTTCAAATAAAGTGGCAGTTATTTCATGTCAAAACTGTACCTTATGCTGACTTGTGCTGAAAAAATCAACATACCTTTAATTGCATATTAGAGCGTACTGGTTCCCGGAAGTTTGATAGTACAAAAACAGGAACTTCTGATCTGAACAACAGGCCAAATGAGCCCTCCTATTAAAATTTCCTATACTTCTTTATTATTCAAATAAAACTTTCAACAAGGGTTCTACAGTGACCCCAAGTCCCCAAGCTTTCATTTGATACTAAAACTACCCAAATATTCCCACTATTGACAAAGATACAGCTATGCGTAGGAACTATTTTGTTTAAAATATGTACTATTTTCTTGTATGTTCTTTCCGACCGGGCCTGAATTAGTGGTTCTATACCTATAACAGCACCAAACTTGTTATATTGACTTCTGCTTGACTTAATTTCCTTCTATGATCTATTTCTAGCATAGAAAAACACATAAAGCTTTTGTCAAAACACTATATCACTGAATTCAAGCTCAAATTGGACTGGTAGTAACATATGCGTTAAACAAAGAAAACTACATATAGATACTAATAGTGACAGATATGACACTTTTTCAATTTTTACCAGTTCTGATTTGTTAATATCTACTCAAATAACAGTGTTCTTACCTATATGTCTTATTTTTATCAGAGATTCTTCCTTGAATACAAATACAGTGGTCCGAACATAAAATATAATTGATAATTTTGTCCCCCCTTTTTTCTACATGTTGGAAAAGGAGAGTGATTAGGTAAAAAAAACATACTTTTATGTATAAACATGGATCAACAAAGCAATTTATGTATCTCCAAGCTAGACAACTTGCTAAAATGATTATAAAATGCATTTCAAGTGAGATTTTGGAATTCCTATATAAGTATACACCAATTTTCCTTGAAATAAATAATTCACCAAGAAACACAATAAAACATGAACACTCACTAGATAATTTGACCAAAAACAATATTTATACTATAAACTAGTCATAATATACAAGTTTCATTGGTTTCAGTGTTAGATAATCCAAAAATTTAAATTTCAGGTAAAATCTTAACTGTGTGCATGCTAAATGACCAAAAAAGGCTAAAATACCTTATTGTAGCAATTTGAGGGCTGTAATTTGACACTAACATAATTGTTACATAAAAAAAATAATGTAACATGATTTCTGACAACAAATGTGACCAATTTTCACTGTAAAGGGTATGATTTCTAAAAATAGAATTTCTCATGCCTGTCAGTAATAGGTATAAAACCACTAATTTATAGCCCCATTGCTTTCTATGTTAAATTCTGCAGTTTCAAGCATAAATGGCTACTTTATCTTAAGTTCAAATAAAGTGGCAGTTATTTCATGTCAAAACTGTACCTTATGCTGACTTGTGCTGAAAAAATCAACATACCTTTAATTGCATATTAGAGCGTACTGGTTCCCGGAAGTTTGATAGTACAAAAACAGGAACTTCTGATCTGAACAACAGGCCAAATGAGCCCTCCTATTAAAATTTCCTATACTTCTTTATTATTCAAATAAAACTTTCAACAAGGGTTCTACAGTGACCCCAAGTCCCCAAGCTTTCATTTGATACTAAAACTACCCAAATATTCCCACTATTGACAAAGATACAGCTATGCGTAGGAACTATTTTGTTTAAAATATGTACTATTTTCTTGTATGTTCTTTCCGACCGGGCCTGAATTAGTGGTTCTATACCTTCAGATATACAAATAAAAAAATATTTTTTACGGCTGATTACCTTGAAATTTTCCACGTTTATTCTTGTACTTGTTTACCATATTGACACTTTTTATGAAGTCTGAAGCTTGTTCTCTTCGTTTCCATGACAACACTTCCTGTGCAGCATCAGCCATTGAACTTTTTCCCACATCTTTGGCACCTTTCTTTTTACTGAATAGCTTTTCCTTAGCAGAAAGCCATTTGGTCTTTGTTGCAGTCATACTACAAAAAAACTTATTTTTAGTACATTGTAAAGTGTTTGTTTTTATCAACAAATAAAAATTTTGTATAAGTATACTTAACACAGCAGAAAGCCATATGTTGCAGTCATACTACTAAGTTTTCTGCTAGGTCTAGTCTGATAGTACTTTTATGAACAGTTCCAAGGATTTTAATTCATATACTGTAAATTTAGAAGTTAATGGATGCATTTATCATTTCGAATCCTTGACTACTGGGAAAATGGAAAAATTTAATTAATGCAAATACAAAACTTTATGAAGGAAATCACAATTGAAATTATGAATGCAAGTTTTTTATTATTAGGAACATGATACTGTCACATTTTTCTCATTAATATACCAGTAAACTTCGCAATAATTTCAAAATGCACAGTCTTTAGTTTTCTATGTTGTGTTTTGTGTACTGTTGTTGGTCTTTTTCTTTTTTAGCCATGGCGTTGTCAAGTTTATTTTTTCGACCTACGAGTTTGAACATTCCTTTAGTATCTTTCACCTCACTTTTACAATAAATACATTTGATGCTATAATTCAATTTTTTATTATTTAAAATTTTCAGCTGCAGTTTGAGTTTCTCACCTAGAGATTTCATGAAATAGTATATCAAGTATTGAAATATATTCAAATTTCTACCAATTTCAGTTGAAAGAACCTCATTAGAAATGTATACCTCTAATCTGGAGGTCACATGTTGTTTTTTTTTTTAAAGAAAAAGGCCTACTTATAGTTATCATTTAATATTTTCCTACTTAATTAGCATACCAAATTTCTACATTTTTAAATGACATTTCCACCACAGTCTGTATGCGAGCCTCTTGGTTGGGTAACTGATGCAAGATATTTTGTAGCATTTGAATACTAGGTACTGGTACAAACATCATCAAAAAGTTCACCAGAGCTCCTATTTCTAAATACAAATCCAGCTAAAACAGAGAAATAGTATACAGAATAGTTCTTAGAAAGTCTTCCTTTTCAGGTACCTCTGATACCCCGCTCTCCCTTTCGTAAGTGTTTTCACCAGTATTTGAAGATGTGCACCTCACTTTGTAAACACATTTGGAATTTTTGGTAAATTTTCCAGCAAATCTTTTTAAATTTTCAGTAACATTCTCAATGAAGGTTATCAATTTTCTTGATAATTTGGTCCTCCCCAGTTTGTATAAACATTGAAAATGTGCACCTTCTTTTGCATACACATTTGGAGAATTTTGTAGTTTCCTATATAATCTTTGACACCATTCTCAATGGAGTACCCATTTTTTGACAATCATGTCTATTTTGGTAATATTTCATGGGAGACTGTAGTTCTCCTTAAATTTACTTATTTTTAGACATCACTAGATATTCACCTTTCCTTTTTTAAAAAAATGAAATGAAATGACGACAAATAATCATATCAAGTATGAAAGTATTGATGTGTTTCGGACGGAGAACATTGCCATATCTCCCACGGCAAGATATGCTGAGGACAAAAAAAAATAAGTATTGCAACCCTAACCCTTGAGTCTTTGACATATTTTTGCAGAGAAAGAGTTGGGCTATAATACTTACTTCACTGTCATCTTTTGCTGCCTTTTGTGCTGCTCTGAATTGTGCTGAGAAATAATCAGGTCCACCATCAAATAGAATTAATTTTTCTACCTATAGTAACATTAATAAAAGTATATGTTTTTAAGTGGGATTACAATAAATAATAAAATGCTCCGCAGGGTGCAGCTTGATACGACCGCAGAGGTCGACCCTGAACAGTTGGGGCAAGTATGGACACAACATTCAAGCTTGATACAGCTCTGAATTTGGATTGTGATTAAATATTTGACACAGCATAGGTTACTGACACAGAATGAATGTGGTCTAAGAACTTAAAAATTTAAATTGGACATTCACCTATTATGGTCCAATATCTAAAATCTAAATACATGGTTAGATTCAGCATATCAAAGAACCCCAAGAATTCAATTTTTGATGAAATCAAACAAAGTTTAATTTTGGACCCTTTTGACCTCAATGTGGACAAAGTTGATAACGGGGCCCAAAAATCAAAAATCTGAATACATGGTTAGATTCAGCATATCAAAGAACCCCATATATTCAATTTTTGTTGAAATCAAACAAAGTTTAATTTTGGACCCCGATTTGGACCAACTTGAAAACTGGGCCCATAATCAAAATTCTAAATACATGTTTAGATTCAGCATATCAAACAACCCTAAGAATTCAATTTTTGTTAAAATCAAACTAAGTTTAATTTTTGGACCCTTTGGACCTTAATGTAGACCAATTTGAAAACGGAACCAAAAATTAAGAATCTAAATACACGGTTAGATTCGGCATATCAAATAACCACAATAATTCAATTTTTGATGAAATCAAACAAAGTTTAATTTTGGACCCTTTGGACGGCAATGTGGACCAATTTAAAAACGGGGCCCAAAATCCAAAAACTTAATACACGGTTAGATTCAGCATATTAAAGAACCCCAAGAATTCAAGAATAAAACCCCATTGAAATTGGTCAAGAAATAAGCAATTTATACGAAGTATCTTCTTTTGCACAATACTGTGCAATTGAATATTTCTTGCTATTGCACAATACTGTACAATTGACAATTTCTTGCTATTGCACAATATTGTGCTATTGGATATTTCTTGCTATTGCGCAATACTGTGCAATTGAAGATTTCTTGCTATTGCGCAATACTGTGCAATGGAAGATTTCTTGCTATTGTGCCTTACTGTGCAATTGAAAATTTCTTGCTATTGCTCAATACTTATATAATAATTTACACATCCTGTTTGGTGTGTATCTCCTACCATATCATTATTATTTGCTTTTAAATATAAATCAGAAATAACCAACTTGAAATGGAAAATTTTAAAAGAAAAAAAAGGAAAAAAAGAAAAAAAAGGAAAAAAAAAAAATCCTCCCCCCCAAATTTTTTGAACCCCCTTATGATTCATCACCCCCAAACTCAATCCCAGCCTTCCCTTTGTGGTATGGTACCTTGCAGTACAATTTCAGAGAGATCCATACACTTGAACACAACTTATTGTCTGGAAACTAGAAAAATGCTTGTTTTTAGGCCCCAAATTCCTAAACATTTAGGGCAATTACCCCCAAACTCAAACCCAGCTTTCCTCTTGTGATATGGAACCTTGTAGTACAATTTCATAAAGATCCATACACTTACACACAAGTTATTGTCCTGAAACTAGAAAAATGCTTGTTTTTTTTTCCCTTTTTGGCCCCTAATTTCTAAAATTTTGAGGCAATTACCCCCAAAATCAATCCCAGCCTTCCCTTTGAGGTATGGTACCTTGCAGTACAATTTCAGAGAGATCCATACACTTGAACACAAGTAATTGTCTGGAAACTAGAAAAATGCTATTTTTGGCCCCTTATTCCTAAACGTTTTGGGCAATTACCCCCTAACTCAATTCCAGCTTTCCCTTTGTGATATGGAACCTTGTAGTTCAATTTCAGAAAGATCCATACACTTACACACAAGTTATTATCATGAAACTAGAAAAATGCTTGTTTTTTGCCCCTTTTTTGGCCCCTAATTCCTAAAATTTTGAGGCAATTACCCCCAAAATCAATCCCAGCATTCCCTTTGTGATATGGAACCTTGTGGTACAATGTCAGAGAGATCCATACACTAACACACAAGTTATGTCTGGAAGTTACAAAAATGCTTATTTTTGGCCCCTAATTCCTTAACTGTTGGTACCATAACCCCCAAAATCAATCCCAACCTTCCTTTTGTGGTATTAAACCTTATGGTAAAATTTCATGGAGATCCATTCACTTAAACTAAAGTTAGAGTACGAAAACCAATGTGTCTTCGGACGACGACGACGCCAACGTCATACCAACATACGACCAAAAAATTTTTAATTTTTGCGGTCGTATAAAAATGGGGAATGTGTCCATGGGACACAGATGATGCCCCCGCTTGCATATAACGTTATAAAAGGACATAACTCAAGAACTGTAAAAGTGACGCTACCCAAATTTGTACTTGATCTCAGTTTTGTGGTAATAAGCGTTGTTTATAAGTTTCAAAACATTTAGTTGAGGCAAACTTAAGTTAGAGAACAGAAACGAAAAATTCAGCAATTTTTCCATTTGTAAAGGGGCATAACTCTAGAACGGTTAAAGTGATGCCACCAGAATTCGAACTTGATCTGTGTTTTGTGGTAATTATCATTGTTCATAAGTTTCATAACATTTGGTTGAGGCAAACTAAAGTTAGAGAACAGAAATGAATATTTCAGCAATTTTTCCATTTGTAATGGGGCATAACTCTAGAACGGTAAAAGTGACGCGACCAAAATTCAAACTCGATCTGTGTTTTGTGGTAATAAGCATTGTGTATAAGTTTCATAACATTTGGTTGAGGCAAACTAAAGTTAGAGAACGGAAAGCAATTTTGGGACGTATGTACGTACGTACTTAAAGACGGACAAGGGTAAAACTTAATGCCCCCTCCGCTACAGCAGTGGCATAAAAAAAGTCAAAACTGACCTTTAGTTGCTAGATCAAATTAAAACATCACACTTTTAAGGTTATTTTATTTAGTTCTTCAGGCTGATGATAAGTTTTCTGTAAAGAAAGGCTCCATACTACAGGGTTACTTCACTCATACATGTAATGATGCATATTGTCATATGTAAAATATTATATTGATCAAGCTTGCAATTGCAATTAAATAATCTATTCTAAAAGGGAAAATATTAATTTTTGTTCTTGCAATAACCCTTTCTCTTTTTGATAAATGATATAAACGCTATTATGCTTAACTGCAATCAACATTGTCATTCTGATGTGATATGGCACACATCTTTTAATATTGCTCTACCTGGAATATATCATGTTGCTAAACAATAAGTTGGGATAATACATGCTTACAGCAAACCAACCACATAAGATAAGTGTTAAAAGAACCAATTGGACATTACCATGTCTTGTTGTTCACATTATATGATTACAAGAATGAGTAAAGTTTATTATTGTTCAGATTCTTTATAAGTTTAAAATTAGGGACAAGTAATTATCTTGTTATAGACCAAACATTTTAATGATAGTTAGTTATGTTGTTGGCTTTTACTTTTTATTGTACATTTTTTATATTGCAACCAATAATCATGTATTACTGGGGATTCATTAAGTGCAAATCTGCCTAAGAATCAGGCAGTGGTGAAAGTATGACAAACAAAAACCCACTCAAGTTTACATTAATTTGAGTTCAAAATGCATAATGTTGCATGAATATAACATTCGTTTCTTTTTCCTGGTATTTCAAGATATAATTAAGTTGAAATACACTAGAAATTAACTCCATAATTTGCTATCATTCTTACCAGAAGTTATCTTGAGATTTCTCGAATTACCAGACACGCAGAAACAAGAGACCTACCATTTCTAACTCAGTATGAGAGTAACTTCCAAATAGGATGGTAAGGTCGGTGGTTTTTTTTGGCCATGTTTTGATATTCTTCTAAATTGCCTGATTTATACAAAGACTGTCACTTAATTCTCGTGGGTACTAATTTTCATGGATTCAGGCAAAATTGTATTTTCTTGGATATTTGATTTCGTGGTTTACAAAAGTCTGCAGACAAGGCTATAGAAAATTTGTTCTTCATTGTACCCACAAAATCATGAAAATTGGTAAACCACAAATAATTACAGTATAAAACAATCATTAGACTTAATTTCTTAAATATGTGTATTCGATATACATGGATCTGTCAAGAAAGTAAGGGGATGGGAGATGAAATTTGTCTTTTCATAATGAATAATTACCTTTTTCTTGTTGGCCTGAAGCTGCAGAGCCATCTCTATTGCCACCATTGTTCCAAATGAGTATCCAGCAATGATGTAAGGACCTGTTGTCTGTAGCATCTGTACAGCATTGGTGTAATAACTAAAATTGTTCATTAAAATTGTATTTTTTGAACAAGAATGCACACCTTGTTGTGCTAAGCACGTCCCCACTCATAGTTCAAGTATAGGAAAACAGGAGGCAGGTGTCTGACAGATCAGAACAGCTCACAGATGTTACAACTCACCATTATTAAACTGCTAATCAAATATGAAGTTATTTTGTTTATCGGTTTCTGATAGAAGTGTGAAATAATTTTAAAGTTCATTCAACATATAGAAAAATTCAAATAAAATTGAGAATGGAAATGGGGAATGTGTCAAAGAGACAACAACCCGACCATAGAACAGACAACAGCAGAAGGTCACCAACAGGTCTTCAATGCAGCGAGAAATTCCCGCACCCGGAGGCGTCCTTCAGCTGGCCCCTAAACAAATATATATACTAGTTCAGTGATAATGAATGCCATACTAAACTCCAAATTGTACACAAGAAACTAAAATTAAAAATAATGCAAGACTAACAAAGGCTAGAGGCTCCCGACTTGGGACAGGCGCAAAAATGCGGCGGGGTTAAACATGTTTATGAGATCTCAACCCTCCCCCTATACGAAGTAGGTATCTGACAGAGCCAAAAAGTGCTCACAAGTGTCAACTCTTCATTGTTCAGCTGCTGACCAAATATGAAGTCATTCTGTTCAGTAGTATCTGAGAAACAAGTGACAAAAACATTTGTGGATGAAAGGATGGAGAGATGGATGAATAGATAGACATGCTTAATGCAATTTTTAGAGTGGGGTATAATATTTATTATATATTTATTTGCAACTCTTGTGCTTGTAAAATCTGATAATATATCACAAATTATAATAGTTAAGATTCACTTAATTTCATGTTACTTCTTGTGGTTTGATTTATTTTCCCAGAATTTTTTTTAATTACTAAAGAGGATAATAAATTAATTGACACTGATATTTGGTTGTATAATGTCCAGGGGCAAACTTCAAGTTTAAAATGGTGATGGATCTAAATGAAAAATATTACCAATAAAATAAGGAAAAGCACAAACCAGTCGAAAGGTTTATCAGAACAAAACATATATACTGTGGATTCATTTATTTATGTGGATTAAGGAAAAATTGTAATTTCATGGTTTTACTAAAATCTGCATACAAGCTTATAGAAAATTTATATTTCATTGAAAATTAAAATCTGTGGTTCACAAATACCCACAGAAACAACAAAAATTGGTATCCCAAAAATAATCATGAATCCACGGTAAGCTGATACACTTAATGCAAAAAGTAAAGTAAAGTTTTTCTTTAGCTATTGTATCAGGACATAATTATTAAAGGAAAATCAAAAGATAGCAGGAAAATAAGGAATCATTTCTAGTCCAATTTTCCTTGCACAACTTGAGGAATTCGACCAATGTCTATCTTTAGATTATCCTGTGAAATAACATGGCTGGCTTATAATTACTGCATTATAAATAATTATAAGTGGATATTGTTCAGAATTCATGCATCTTCGCTAGCCAAGGGTTACGATCCAGTCCCCTCCTCTCCACCCTTGGTGGATTAAGATAGAATTTCATGTCCACGAGTGAATGATTTTCATTGGTCACAGTTGTAACTGGCTGCATCCAATCAAAACCGCCTTTACGATGATCACGTGTAAATGTAGAAAATGTAAATAAACAATTGCCACGTGCTGATTGTGCAACAAGTCTTAACCACAAAAACATTGGACAATACTCAGTGACAATTTTAAAGTTTTCAATCAACTAATTGGAGCTCCTGGGTATGTTTCTTGTGCAAATGTTGGAATGTAAACGTATATTTTCGGTTCCTGCTTTGTAAATACTAGACACAACCATAAACTTCCACACTGAAGAGAGTTCAAGTGCTGTCATTGGTTAAAAATGATGGTCTGAATGGGCGTGACTCTTTGTCTACCGGTAGATGGCGCAGCCTTGAAATCACAAATGTTGGCTTAATCTGCCAAGGGTGGAGAGGAGGGAACTGGATCGTAACCCTCGGCGAGCGAAGATGGAATTCATGCAACAAACTGTGAAATTAATCTTTGTGAAACAATGTTAACTCAAAGCTGTTTTATTTATCATTTAACTTCGCTTAGTTTCCCAAACATCAGACACAAATTATTTTTTTTATGATAGGATTATTTATACTTTCTTTTAAGCACCTTTAGATAGAAACAAATTCAAGATTGTCTACTTTTGACACACATTTAAAATTTCCTGGTCCCACGTCAGGAACCTTTTCATTGGTTGTCCATATTCATATTAAAGTGTTTTTTGTCCAGTAAGGACTTTAATGTTAAATTTTTGCATCTCTGATAACCTCTGTTCAACTTATTGTCTCCAAGTTAGTTCAGTGCTTTATAAAATTGAAACTAACAGACGAGTCATGCATATTGTTAAAGTGAATAGACAATAGTGAAAAGAACAAATTTCCCTATCACCAATAATACCTAGCTACACTGTATAAGCTATCTCTAGGAGTGAAAGTTGTTCTCTGTATTCCATAGCACTGTCTAGTTAGTAGGCCACCAAGTGTTTTCAACAAAGTTACTTTGCCTGTATTAATTCAATTGGTTTATCAATCTTGCATAACATTTGAAACTTAAATACTAGATGAAATGTTGAGCATTGTTCACAAAATCTATAGCATTGCTCTCAATTAAGGTCATGCACGTTTTGCTCTCAAAGTGGTCAGTTTCATTGAAATCCAGTCAGCAGTTAAGGATAGGTTTCAGATACAAGATACCTACCCTGTAGTTAAGACCAAGTCCATGATTTTTCAAGGTTTCTGGTAAACTGCAGACTTAATTTCAGTGATACTTCAAAGAACATTTTTTACCTAATGTCATTGTGAACCTTCTATTTACTTTTTTGATAAAAAATATTCAGAGGATGCCTATGGAGTTGCATAATTCTAGGAAAATGTGTGATACTTTAGGAGGAGTTGTGGATACACAATGTGCAAATGGAGTTATGAAAATTCTCTATCCTCCTCTGTTTTTCACTAAGTAGGGGATTTAAATCTGATGTAGCAAAGAACAAAAATTAATCTCCAAAATACACTTTCATTCAAGTAAATGAAATAAAAAGGATAGTTCAGATAGCCTACTTTTACCTGGATGATGCCCTACTTTTAACTGGAGGATGACCTACTTTTAACTGAATAATGCCCTACTTGCCAGGGCCAAACTCTAAGCAAATTTTAAATATCACATCTTAATGTTTTAAGATGAAATTTTGAAGTCAAATCATTGCAAATTTGAATCAATTAAATTGTACTGATTACCAAAGTAATGACCTATGATGTTAACTTGAACTTTTAGTCTCTGAACAAATGAACAGTATTTCAGTAAGACCTATTTTGCCTGGATGGTGACCTGTTCACCTTCATGGAAGTTGAAATTATCCTAGATTTTAAGTTGATATAAACTTAAGACAGTCAGTAAAATACTTGAAGCATTAAGTGAAACCTACTTTTTACTTTTCAGTTAAGCTACTCACTTAAATTCACATGGATGCAATTTTAGATGAATCATAAATCAGGCTGTGGGCTTTAAGTATGAACTGTTAATCATGTCAGGCCTATTATGGAAGGCTATATACTGTATAAGTTTTGCTCATTGTAGAAGGTCAGGGGGAGGGGAAGAGGGAGCTAGATACCTAAATTTTATTGTGGAAAACTAAAATATTCCCTAAAAATGACACTTCAGTGTTTAACAAAGAAAAAAACAATATCTGCTTACACATTCCAAACCAAAGAATTACCTACCACAAATATTTTTCTTAGCAATATTTTTCAGTATAAATTACAACTTACCAGTAATAGGATGTACAATGTACAATGGCTTATCTTGCTTAGGTGAACTATTGAGAGGTACCAAAGAGGGCTCCTTGATAGCAGGTGTCAGAAGTATTCTAATAGATGGAGTCATTGGAGTAAAAGCTTTTGCAGGTGACATTCCAGGAGAATTGATAAATACCAAGTCCATTGGTCTACTTTTCTTCCGTCTTTTTTCTGGTACAGGTGTAACAATCATAGGATTGGGAGGCAGCAATTTCACTACTAGTGAATCTTTCTTAATGCAAGTGGAATTGTCTGACAGTGGGATGTCAATATAACTTTCATGAAGATCATCTGATTTCTTGTGTACCCTTAATGTAACCATTGGTGTTGAAGTAGCCCTATAATCAGGAGGGCAGAAAGTTTTACTGTCTGGTTCATCTAGTAATGTGATCTGAACATTAGGCACCCTGACTATAACTACGTCTTTAGAAGGTTGACTGATCTTTAAATCTACGCTTTCACAAGCTGAAGCCAGTCTTGCTTCGTTTAATGTATCATCATTTTCATCTTCCTCTGAATTTTGACTTTCAAACTGTACTCTTTCCCATAAGGAAAAATCCTAAAATATATATATACATACAGTACAGACTATTATTTAAAGATGTGTTTTCAGTTGATTAACCTACAAAAAGATCGTGGGCAAATATCAAATAAAAAATTCTAAGAAACACACATTATAACTCATCACTGTCAAGCTGCTGATGCCACCGGACGTTAAGCAACCAACAATCAATCAATCAAGCTGCTGACCAAATATGAATTCATTCTGTCCAGTAGTACATGAGAAAAGAGTGACAGAAATCTTCGTTGACAAATGGATGGACAAGGTGAATGCAATATAGCCCACACCCATAGAGTTGGGATATAACAAATGCAGGAATGGCAATTACATCTGTGAAATAGAATATGGACATGTTAGTAAAAGCTTACTTTGAAGTATTTGAATTAGAAAGGGGTTCCAATAACAGGCACAAAATGATAACAACTGTGAAAAATTTCATTGCATTCCAAAGAATACTGTAGGGAAACAAGATGATGATTTCCTGAGTTTTTGACAATTAAAGTCCATTACCTCTGGAATACCAACCTTAGGTTTTGTTGTAATAACACTATGAAGTCTTTCCATTGCTAACATATCAGCTTCCATCAAACATTTAAAGCTGTCAGTTAAATTAATCCCAGGTTCATCAAGTACATTTAAGATCTGTGTTATAGAGATAGGATTCAGGAAGTGGGAACGTTCATCCAAACTATACAGCATGCCTTTTGTTTCTGGATATCCTTCTTCTTTCAGCTGTAAAAAAAAAAATTACAAGAAATGATTGTAACAGGATGCTGTTACGAAGTCTCCCAAACGAAGCTCCCATAATTCATAATTCCCAGGGTCGCCTGACATTGGGCAAAGTCCAGTGAAAATTGGTTTGGTCCAGTCAAGTTATATGCATTAGTGATGCCTGGGGACTAACCCTGTATATCATTCAAATCATCTTGGCATGACAAACCAGAATATATATGGTTTAGGGGTGGGGATCTCGACCATTTACAAGATACTAGAACATTGGGGGTGGGGGGAACCCCTGGGGACTGACCCTATACGTCATTCAAATGTTCGAGGCATGACGAACAGGAATATATATATGGTTTAGGGGTGGGGATCTCAACCATTTACAAGATATTAGAACATTCAGGGTGGGGGGAACCCCTGGGGACTGACCGTATACGTCATTCAAATGTTCGAGACATGACGAACAGGAATATATATGGTTTAGGGGTGGGGATCTTGACCATTTACAAGATATTAGAACTTTCTCAAATGGCAGGGGGTCGGGATGTCCCCTGGGGACTAACCCTGTATATCATTTGATGTGCTTTATCATGACAAACCAGAATATATATGGTTTAGGGGTGGGGATCTGGACCATTTACAAGATACATGTATTAGAACTTTCTCAAATGGCAGGGGGTCAGGATGACCCCTGGGGACTAACCCTGTATTTCATTTGATGTGCTTTATCGTGACAAACCAGAATATATATGGTTTAGGGGTGGGGATCTCAACCATTTACAAGATTAGAACTTTCTAAAATGGCAGGGGGTCAGGATGACCCCTGGGGACTAACCCTGTATATCATTCAAACCATCTAAGCATGACAAACCAGAATATATATGGTTTAGGGGTGGGGATCTTGACCACTTACGAGGTATTAGAACTTTCTTAAATGGCAGGGGGTGGTGGTGGGCATAAAAATAAAATCTTTACCACAGAAGTGTTTATTTTCATCTGGAACTATTTTGGTTTCATTAATTTTGTGTATCATGAGATTATAGTGGATTCATTGATTTTATTGGTACATATTTCCGCAGATTGACAAATTCTAAATACAAGCATATAGCAAATTTGTATTTTGTCAAACATTTGAATTTGTTGATCAACTATACACACTAAACAAACAAATATTAGTGTGTCTTGATTTACTAGGTGAAACTGTTTTAGTGAACCAAAACATTTGTCTCCATTTCATCTACAGCAACTGTAAGTCACTTTGATGGTGCAGTAGAAAGATCTTGTCATGGCAATTTAGGTAATATATAGTTTAGGGTTTCAAATTTGAACAGTTGAGGAGATATCTAAACAATTTATAATTGTATGCGAACCAAAAGAAGAAAAAATACTACTAAAACATAATGTCTTCATTCTTCAAAGGGGAGACATAATTAATAATGAATCTGCAGTATCTTATGTTCTTTTTATGCAATTTAAATTTCAACTGCATTTTTAAACTAACCTTTCCTACAGCTCCATCTCTCATTTCATACAGCAAAGTTTGTATTTCTTCCTGGCTACGAGATAAAAAGCTGAAGAAAGCTTTCTTCACATCAACAAGGATAAATGTTTTGTTATGCTGAAGTTTCTCTAATTCTAAGGGTTCTAATGGTTTGGCACACTGCAGAAATTTCCCTCCAGTACCAATGAAATCTATGCATGTATTCAGTTCTGAAAAAAATATCATACCAATACTGAAATCAAGGAAATCAGAAAATGAATTAAAGCTGGTATCCTAATGCTAGCAATTTAAAGGTTTGTTTGGATTGCTTGCTTTGTTTGTATAAATGTTTGCTCAAGCCTTGTAATTAGGATTCACATCTGCAATCAATAGATAGGCAGGGCTTCAGCTTGTATACATTATTGATACTTAAATGTTGTTGGGTGTTATGTATAATGTAAACGAGCTGAAGTCCCGCCTATCTATTGATTGCAGATGTCAATCTTAATTACAATGCTTGAGCAAACATTTATACAAACAAAGCAAGCAAGCCAACCAAACCTTTAAATTGCTAGCATAAGGATAACAGCTTTAATAAACAAATGACTGAAAAAACTGAAGTATGCTACGTTGCATAAAATAAGCAGGTATTGTGTTTCCAGTACATAAATATTTAGTAAATTCAACCTTCCGTAAAGGGGCATTAGCTGCCATTTAGACAAAAAATTGAAATACTATTGTTCTGGTTTCAAACAGTTATTTAAAACAGAATAATGAAATAATATTTCGCTATTAGCAGTCAGTATGGTGCAATTTGGTCAAACTAAGATGGAAAACATTGCAAAGGTATTATTCACTTGCAAGTCAATAATTCATTCTCTGTTGAACCCATTTTCATGTAACCCTAACTTGACCTTTAGCTGAAGATGAGTTACGCATAACCTAAAGAATGTCAACATTGAAACGTGAAACAAGGGAGTCACCATATAAAAAACCATTTCTTTGACTGATTCGGCCTACTAGTAATCATTAATATCAGGGTAAAACCATGATTTAATTTTTTTTAAATCTATGACATGAAATCAAACAGACCTAGAAAACATCGTAATTACACAACTCCACGTGCTAACCAGTCTATAATTTATATTCATATTTATGTTTATATCGGGTTGAATAACTATCAGAAGTCTTCAGAGGTTATTTCAATGGTTAATTAGATGGTGTCTAGTCTAAAATACGCACAAAATGCTGATACATTATAACAAGTCCAATTTTTAATTGTTTGTTTTGGACTTTTTGTAATTTGGATTTTCATTTAAGAATGTTATGAATCAAATATGAGAATTTAAGTCAAATCAGTGATCATGGATTTGACAGCTAATGCCCTTTAATATTTTTATTTCAATTTTACAATCAATTTGTACCAAAAGCTGGTTCATATTTCACAAAGGAATTTTACTTTGAATCACACTCAAAACAAGAGATGTCATGGAGCCTGTATCACTCGACTTGCGTTTTGACAAAAATAACTCCTAAAGGAGTCATCCAATGGTTTCGGTTGTATTCACATATTTTTTTTTTGTAGATCCAATATTTCTGATTAATTTTGGTGTTTACAGTTTCTACCTATCTAGTATAGTTATTGAGATAATAGGCAAACACATGAAAGTAGCCAAAAATCGTCATTTCAAGGCTTATGGAGTCATCTGATAATTTTGGTAAAAATAAGAATGTAGATCTTGACATTCTGATCATTTTTGTCCTGTCAGATGTTCTCTTTCTAATATAGTTTTCAAGATATAAGACAATTATTGCATTTTTCACCTATGTTCTATTTTTAGCCATGATGGCGAAGTTTGTTGACTGAACAGAAAAATAAAAAACTTACCACCACTAGTGAATTTTATACAGACATCACACCCTTCTCCTTGTGTCATAGCTTTAATACTCTGTACAAGATTGTCCCCTGGTAATACACAGACAAATGGAAATGTAGACTCAACCATTTGTCTTGTTTCTATGTCATAACTGGAAGTAAACACACTGATACCACTATCCTCACTGGATAAAGCCATTAAATACATCCCTACTGTATCTGAAATCAAAAATACTGATATATATAGTAGTATAGGAGTCAACATACTATCCTCACTTTTAACAGCCGTAAATACATCCAGACTGTATCTGAAAACACAGAAATGTTTAAACACATAGTAGTCTGGGAGTTAAAAATACACCATAACTTTGAAAAAAAGGTTGGATAAGAATATAGGAGTGATGTTAATAAATTTTTATTACAACTTCAGATTAAGGGTTGTTGAAGAATTAAACACATGGGGGTGGAGGGGCATGGGAGACACGTTTTTTAGACCCCAACCGTTCATAATAATTCAAAAATTTTAAGTAAATGCAAACAACATTAATTAATTAGTTTGATTGCTTCCCATCCCCTCAAGGATCAATTCTTGAACAGCCCTAAGGTAATTAATTACTTACCAATAGGTGGACATATCAATAACCTTGGTTTCTCTACAGATTCTGTAGATTCAGATAACAGATACAAAGCTATCAGATATGGAATGATTTGCTCAATATCCTCAATTCTCCACTTATCATCAGCTGCTAATGGAATTTCTTTGCAGATAACATCCTCTTCTGTCAAAATAAATACCATAAATGAAAGACTACAAAAAACTAAATGTTTATATGATGTGAATGCCTCTTGTGTCAAAAGCAATATCAGGGTAACAAATATATTCCTAAATGTTATAGCCAAACAGAAAAAACCCATCAAAACTAGATCAAAGAAAACAAAGCATAAACTTTATATCTGTAACTCCTGTGAGTTAAACAATTATATTCATTAAGTTTCAACCAATATGCATTAGTTACCTCAAAAGTTGGTCAACCGAAGCATGCTTGCATCTAGATCTATAGTGAATTCATTATCATTTGTGGTATGCTAATTTTTGTTGATAACTTGAAGTTAAGCACAAAGTTAAATGATCAACAAAATACAAATTTTCTATAAGCTTGTATGCAAAATTTGTTAAAACCATGAAATCAAAGATTCCACAAAAATCAATTAATCCACATTTATTGTACATACACAAGTCATTTATAACAAGCTTATGTTTAAATTGGCTTAAAACTTTGTTTAATGTTGTGAAACATACAGATCCCCTCACTGTCATGGATCTTTCATTTCTTGTACATGTAAATAATAAATTACTTTGCCACAAACCATGTAAAAATCATCTAAAAATAAAATAACTATCATATTACCTGTCATAAGAACAAGTCCAAGAACACCTGTTTTAGTTTTGTTATTAATGCCCTGATAGACCATTATTTTGTCTGATTTCTGACTCTGGATACTATAAGCCAGCACAATGTTAACAGATGTCATGCTGTATTCACTAACATTACTTTTTCTGGTGACTGCAGGCTTATCAAAGGTGACAGCATTCTGTACCAGAAGGGAACCGGCTTTGCATAATCCTGAAAATAATATCATTTATAGTGTAACAATGATTATTTTCTGTAGAATATAACAATAAAAGAAGAATGTGTCCATGGCACAAAGATGCCCCCTTGTAAACATGCAAGAGTCAATGTACTAATTCAAACCTATTGACGTTTCGTTTTCTTTGAAACTTAAAGACATTTGTTTATGTATGTTGTCATTAGAGATTGCTTTGTTGTTTGAGTGCTCTCTTGTTAAATAACAAACAGTAATAGGGTAATGCCAAATTTTCAATTATAAAGGGACATAACTTGAGAACAGTCAAAGTGACGCCACCCAAATTTAAAATTGATCTGTTTTCGGTGGAAATAAGCATTGTGAAGTTTCATAACAATTGGTTGAGGCAAAGTAAAGTGCAGAAATGGCAAATTCACCAACTTTTCAATTTATAAAGGGACATAACTCAAGAATGGTGAAAGTGACGCCACCCAAATTCAAACTTGATCTGTGTTTGGTGGTAATAAGCATTGCATAAAAGTTTCAGAACATTTGGTTGAGGCAAAGTAAAGTCAGAGTGCAGAAACAGCAAATTCAGAAACTTTTCCATTTATAAAGGGCCATAATTTGATAACGTAAAAAATGATGTCACCTAAATTCGAACTTAATCTGTGTTTGGTGGTAATAAGCATTATGTATAAGTTTCATAACATTTGGTTGATTGAAACTAAAGTCAGAACGGAAACCAATTTTGTGGAAAATTCAGAAACTTTTCCATTTATAAAGGGACATAATTTGATAACAGTGAAAGTGATGCCACCTAAATTCAATCTTAATCTGTTTTTAGTGGTACATTTGTAAATAAGCATTATCTATCAGTTTCATAACATTTGGTTGAGGAAGACTAAAGTTAGACAAAGGAAACCAATTTAGGGATGTGTGTAACTTTAATGCCCACGCCACTCAGCAAGGACATAATAAGTTAGAGTGCAATATTCACCAGTACTGTAACAATGCAATATCACTTGAAATTGGTGAAGTATCAGGTAGTATAACAGTGTTTTCAGTATCTAAAAATTACAGAAGTAGCACCAGTATTAGTGAATATTACCCCTAATACTATATTAGTGGTCCAGTAATCCTGCATTAGTGGAAGATTTATTGGGAGGGGTGGCACAGGGACCATGTATCCCCCACAGTAAGTCTGGTAGTCTGTTTGCTACAAAAATATTTGGATAACTGCACAAAGGTCCCAAAGCATTGTTCAAAGCATGACATAAGTAACTATTTCACATCTATTTCCAATTTTTTTTTTTCAATGGCCATATATATATATATATACCAGTGTATTTTTCAGCCACTGCCAGTACATTAGCACATTCTTTGACCTCTTCCTGCACAGAAATAGGATCAATCATAACTTTTATCAACCCGCCTTCCAAATATTCCATGTTAAACTCCAATACTGTATTGATGAAATCTAGCCAGTTATCCTCCCATAAAATTTCTGTCTTTTGTAAGAGATCCCTGAAATTAAACAAACATAAAAGACTGATGATTTTCCAAATAAGCAGTAATTTTGCAGTCTAAAATACATGCAATAATACACATATAAAAGCACAAAGCCAGTTTTTTTTTGTGTACATATTTGATTTTTTTCTAATTTTGTTCATTGTGATATGAATACGAACCACTCTACTTCATTCACAGTCATGAAAATGTGTGAATGAAAATCTGATGCATTTTAAAAATCATTAAAAAAATATAGTTTACAGATTTAGTTTGTACTGAATTCTAAAGGACCTGAACAAGTATCCTAAATATTTAAAGGCATTGTTTGAAATTAGTGCTGATCAAAAAAGCAGGATTGTTGGTCCATGCATACAGCTTTAAAGAAACCTTTTTAAAACTTATGTAGCCATTAAATTATTCTATTATTATACTATAAAATTGAACAGGTCAAAATCATTGAACACATTTAAACCTTTGGTAATAATTCTGTGACATATTATTTGAATTATTTAACTTATTAACTGAACTGAGAAGAATGAATGGCAAACACATGATTCCTTAATTTTACTTGGCAGTCCAGATATGACCTTGTATTAATTTCAAATGACAATGGGTAGGAAATGCTCTATACAAACAAATTTTGTCATTGGCAAAAAGGAAATGTAAAAACAGTCCTATATAAGTTAACTTCGTTACATGCTGAGCAAAACGAAACATAAAGTCCACTAAGTGTGGCTAAAGATTCTGGCTGAAGTACAGAAAAATATTACTCAAATACTATTTCAATACATTAATCAGATGTGACGTTGACTTATGTCCACACAAATCTAAGCTATCAGAGGATTTGAAAATGAATATTGAAGGTCAGTAAGACAGACACTTCATGATATGTGTAAGGATAACAAGCACATAAACATGATAAAACAACTCAAACATGAAGATTGGAGCATGAGGTTGTGTCACATCTAAAAGATGCTTTTATCATTAAAATCACATACAACATATTGTTGACCTATAATATATATAGGTAGTTTTTACAGTAACATTTCTACCGACCGTGCCAGACCCTCAGGAGTAATCAAGGTTGTTAAAGATCCAAGTAGAAGTCACCTCTCTGTTTAATTTGCTAATAACTTTAACGTCACAGTACCCAAATTGCACCTATTCAACAAAATAGCTGCGAAAATCGTACAAGTTTTCTTTGAGACTAAATAATTTGTAATTTTTTTGATTTGACATTATAGATGTATTTTAACATAGGTAACTATATTCAAATATACAAAAAACGTTCACAGTATATATTTCAACAGATGAAGCACACTGGAAAAAGTAAAATCTACTGAACGTCGCCATGCAACGTTCACAAAAAGTCATCTTTTAAAAATGAGCAAATAAAATATGCATCTATTTCTTAAAAAATGAATACTAAGCATGGACTAATGTCAAATTGTCCTAAATATTTGAATAAATAAAACAAAACAACTGTTATTCTATTTTTAAGGATGTGAATTAAAGCATGGTTGCAATCTGGGTACTCTTCATTACAGAATCATGGATCGTTTGGAGGTCGGTTCAAACCCATTTTTCTATGATTCACTATGGATTCAAAATTAAATTGGTGTAACTATACAGTAAAAAAGGATACATCTACAAAATAAACACAGAATGGTAACTTTTGTCTGGATCGTTAAAAATGTAGGTGAAAAAAACTCAAAATAGGTGCAATTTGGGTACCCTCACGTTATATACCCTGGGCGATACAGTGCTTGACATATTGTATGTATATCTATCTAAATACTGTATGTTGACCTTTGGTTGTTTGTGTTGGATTTTTATTATCTCATTGACATATACCCACTATCTCCTTTTATTCATAGTCATATCTGTCTGCACATCTGCAATAACTTACCCGTCTTCAGCATATTCAATGTTTTCATTAATATCTAAGTCATATCCTGGTATTTTAGGAAGTTCTAACTTTTCCGATGACAATATGAAATTTCCAGAGAACAATACTATTCCTGTAACATTAAAAAGAAACTTCAATTACTGAGATCAAGAAAAACACAATAAAATATTAAAACTGTCATGTTTACATCCTCGACCTTTGGTCTCTGGTGAATAGTTGTCTCATTGGAAATCATACCACATCTCCTTATTTTAATATATAACAGTAGGTTTAACAAAGAAGATGTTCCTTTTGTACAGTTCACCAAAGCATTATAGATTGTCTAAAGCAATATGTGCCTTTTAAACACATAATAAGTGATTATTTACCAGTTGAAGAAACAAAGTATGGACAGACAAATTGACAGAATTAATGATCACTAAATATACCGAATTTGAATCTATCGTGTATTGGGTATTGTGGTCTTTGTAGATTCAGTGTACCATACTTTAACCATATAGTGGGAATAACCATAAAATATCCATCTATATTACTGTTACATGGTATATTAGGTAAATCTTTAGCAAATGATTGTTTTTCTGGTATAATATATACAGGTGTTTCTATCATATTTTTGCAATCTTTGGCAGATTATACAAATTTACCATTATTATGTACTGCAAATCTTTGTTTTCCTTGTAGAACTTGTACAACAGCTCCTTGGAGAAGTTCATTTACAGTATCTGTATTTTGATTTAAGTCTAAATTGGAGAAAGTTATTCCTCTGTCCAATGCAGTTTTTGATTCCTACAGTAGTAAAGTGTTGAATATATTAAGTAGCAATCCTTCCTCACTTAAAAAAGACTTTTTCTTATGGTAAAGTTTCTGCTTTGAATCAGAAAGGATTTTGTCTGGATTATATCTATGGATTTATGATAGTGCTGTTTAATCTAGCAGAATCATTTTTTGTGTTCATTTAATTGAAAAACACACAAAACAGAAGGTATAATTATAAAAGAACAGAGTTCCAATGTTCCCCACGTTACACATATTTTATCTATCCAAGAACAAAAAAAAACGTTGTTTTTTTTTGTTCTTTAAAACTTTATACAAATATCTTTGAGAAATGAAGGCTTGAGAGCAAATACAATGAAATTTTTAATATAAATAGTATTTCCAAGGGGGCATAACTCTTTTTAGAATATTTGATCGGCACAGATTTTTGAATTTGTCCAAGAAATTGCTGATATAAAGCTTTGATATGAATTTCATAAAAATCTGTCAAGAATTGTACATGTGAGAGTGCTAACAAGATTGAAGGACAAACGCACAGACGCCCGGTATTTCTAATTCCTCCGCGCAACATAAGACCACTTTTTTCCTCTTGAATCGGAAAACTAATAAATTATCAAACAATGTCTTTCAGATGTTCAAAAGAAATCGATTTGTTGTTAGATATTTCTAATTAAGTATTTGAGTTTTGTCTTGCATAAAATCTGTCAAATGTCATTTTGACAGCCTCACCCTAAAAAATTTCTGCCACAAATTTATAAGTAAAAACACAGATTTGAGTGAAGTATCGTTTTAGGTAGGCTGTTGCTAATATCTAATTTTTTCCAAAAATTCTTTGTATAATTGCGGTTTTGGTCCAATGATATAAAGACATTTGTAGTAAAGGGAACTGATTGTATCATTCGTTAAACATTAACACAATTTTGAAAAAATTGAAGAGTATTTTACTAATTTTGAAATATGAATGACAATTATTTTAACATAAATATTTCAAACAATTCAATTTAAATATTTCAAATATCATTTTTAAATAAAGATTTTTTCAATTCTGAATTCAATTGGTCTTACCAAGGAATTGTCTTTTGACGTTTTCTGTGATATTGCTATCCAGCTGTGATAAATGAGTGTAGCTAGTGGTGTATGTATACCCTCTGAGTCACCAAGATCTATAGTGTAAGGCATAACTGCTTCATCCTTCACTGAAATAAAAGGTTACGTATAAGTTTGGCTAGTGGTGTATGTATACCCTCTGAGTCACCAAGATCTATAGTGTAAGGCATTACTGCTTCATCCTTCACTGAAATAAAAGGTTACGTATAAGTTTGGCTAGTGGTGTATGTATACCCTCTGCGTCACCAAGATCTATAGAGTAAGGCATAACTGCTTCATCCTTCACTGAAATAAAAGGTTACATATAAGTTTGGCTAGTGGTGAATGTATGTTTACCCTCAGAGTCACCAAGCATAAATTTACATCACTAGTTTTATTTTTTTGTACAGACAAATTAACCAACGACTGATGATTGGTTTTTCAAGGAGAAACTTTAAGTTTGCATTGAATGAACTCCACAGAGAACAATAGCTATTGTATTTATTCAATAGGACAGTTCACTTTCCAAAATTTAAATGGACAGGTAAACTCCAATCGATTCTGGGGAAAGGTTTGATTGCCTTCACAATAATTAGTATTCTTATATTTCCTATTTATAGTAATGGTGGCCAAGTTTGTCAGCTGGGTAAACAAGTGAAATTATTACCAAGAAGTATCAATGATTTAATTCACCAGAAAATGTCAAAAACTATTATCAATGCTTATAGATAGCAAAGATTAGTGTTTAAAAAATCTCTCTGATAGCTACTTCATATAGTCTATATGATTGCTGTTTTATTCCTTTTCTGTAGAACTGTATGCATTCTTATATCAAGTCATCATTTTATACAAACCTCTAGAGAAGAATTCTGGCCAATCAGGTATTGACCATGAGTAAGAATGGTCCCATCTAATGAGAGAACTAATTGATGGAGATTTTACATCCAATGGAAAATCTGACTGGTAAAACACACTGACATCTATTGGCTGACCTGTCAATATAGATATATTCATTAAAAATAGGAAGTATAAATGTCTAAAAGGAAGGCAAGTTCAAATAATAAAATGTACTTTGTACTTATACTAAACATTATCGTTGTTCTTTTTATGGTCTAAAATAATGTCTTTTATCCTAATATGTTCCTTGTGAGCCCATTTAATCAAAATATAACATCTTTTTTTCTATAGATTCTAATGCTTAATCTAGACGGTTACCATATTACTTCATTAAAAAACCACATCATTGGTACTTCAATAAAATAATTTAAAAATTTTGTGATTTATGATAATCCTCAAATCAATATTACAAGTAAACAAATTTCCTGGTAAACAAACAGACTTCGACAAGATATTTAACCAGTCAATTGTTCTGAAAATTATCAAGGAAACATGCAAATCATGTATTCCTAGGTCTTCAGATACTTACCAATCATATGGATTTCCCCTAATGTCTTCAGGAAGGACACTGGGCATGGTTTACAGTCAATAGATTTAGATTCTTCATTGATTACAGCTTGTACACCATTCAAGTTAACATTGATGAGTGTAATATTGGGTGGCATGGATTGCAGAATATCATTGGCTCTAACAACTCGGTTAAGAAGACTACTAACTGCACCACTGTCCACATACTGATCTGGGTGTTGTAGGTGTTTAGGGTTCTTCATCAAACCTGATCTGAAATTTACTTGTGGAAATTATTTCTGCAAGTGCAGTTATAGGGCATTAATGTGTAAAATTTACTGCTAGACTAATTTCATTTGGATATAAAAAAAATAAATATATTCAGTTAACAGACCCTTTGGTTTGGACAGTTTTCTATCGCCACCTATGATATCAATGTTTTTTGTTTGTTCTATGGATTTGTGGGGTTGTTGTCTTATTGCTCATACCCAAAATCTTTTATTTTCAGTCTTCTTTTTTATAGATGCCTAGAGTAAACTGTTCAAGCTGCTCAAACCCGGTAATTTATCAATCAATGAAAAACTGCATTAACAATAGCAGAGGGATCATTGAGAAAATTAAAACAATATATTTTCTTTTAATCTAATATTTAAACCACATTTAAAAAAAGTTACCTTTAAATCTCTAGGTAAAAAAAAAAATGTAATAAATTCTAAAGCCAATACAGCAGAAACCATACACTTGTTCATCAATTTCTTGCAAATAATCACTACAATCTAAAGTGTTTTTTTTTTACCTTAAGCTATTCAAACAACTTTTACTAAGTCTTGCCTAAACTACTTTGTAGAGACGAGACAACAAAACAGACCACTTGAAAGAAATCATGAAAACAGTTTCTGATGTAATAGCTATATCATAAAGTTGCCATTTCATACCTCATTTTTGGTTCCTGGATGACAACTTTGAGTTTATCCTTTATTTTCTCTGTAAGACTATCCAACAGTCTACTGTATAGTATTATACCATCTGTTAATTGTTGGTAGTAACCACCTAAAATAGTTCAAAGTAAAAATTAATTTCAATCATTGATAGTTCTGGCAAAGTTGCCAGTTGCCTAGGAAGCATCAGTTACAGAGTAAGAATGAGAGAATACAAACAAATTTGGTTGATAAAAATAAAATTTATGAAGATAAATCTTATGCAGTACAAATATTTTCTATATATGACATGTTGGTTGGCAAGATTAGGTATCAAATGCCATTAAAATTTGTTTTTTTCAAGAATATAATATTGAAATACTGTAGAATCATGTGGTAAAAAATTCATGATTTGGTCTCTAAATTTAATTTGATGATCGAGCTATAATTTTTGTGATTTCCAATTTAGAAAAAAAAGTAATATTCTTCATGAGTATCCATACACAAAATAAACTAAAGTTAAAACCCCAAACGAAAATTACTGCTTGTACAGGAAAAAAGTAAACATTTTTGGAAAAAAGTGAGTGGTTGTTAACTTCTACATCATTTGGTTTCTGGTAGAGAGTTGTCTAATTGGCAGTCATACCACATCTTTTTATTTTTATATCAGATGATGCTAGTATCTTACACTGATAAAGCCAAGTCAATGACCCTCAAAATAAATTCAAACAACACAGCTCTACCTTTATCATGGATAAGTTCGAGAGTATGGTCTATGTATCCATTCATAATTGCTATAATTGCTGAGTCATCTGATAAAGTTGTCAATACTTTGACCTTTGAACCTAAACAATACATCTCCTGCAGGCTCAACTTGACTTTGTAGATCTTATAATCTTTTGCTGAAATTTTAATTTCATACATAACAATATAAACACAAGCTTTGATATCAGATAAATTCTGAACAAAATTTGCACCTGTCATTTTATTCGAAAACATATTCTCCATGTACCATGTATAACAATGAAAACAAACATTCTAGACGTCATTCAAAATTTCATGGCTTATCTACTTTAAAAAAAAACAAAATAAATCCAATCATATTTATGATGAACAAAAATCAAATGCCAGTCTTTCTTATTAAGGATGTTCCCTAGTCTTGTTTTTGACTTTTTGTCAGATATTCTGGTTTTATCCATGTGGTGCAATTAAAAACGTTTGCCCGCCCTACTTTTGTTTTCATTATTTTATTACATATAGTTTTAAAAGCCATTTTTGAAAATCTTAATAAGTTCTTGTTATTTTTTTCTCAAAGTTTTTGAAAGAAAAATGGTGCCAATGGTAATTGTTTGAAAAATCTTAAGAGAATCATTTCCCGTTAAATTGTCTCATTTATGCCTTTATTATCATTTTTTAAACTTGCCACTGTGTCTGGAATGCTCTTCTATAGTTTGCCCTACAATGTATGCCACTCTTAAACACTGTTCTCTCGTCAGGCTGTTGTCCACATAGCACGCTACAATCTCTGACAAACCAATCCCATATACACCTGAGATGTTAACCTTAGCAGCCTGGAGACAGTCAACAATACCTAAAACATAACACAGTATATCAGTTGATGTGATTTAGAAGTAAAGAATAAACAAATATATCCTTTATTTATTGTAAAAGTATTCCAGGAGTATATCATGAGATTCTTTTGTGATTATATTCAAAACATTTTTTTATTCAACAGACTTTACATCAAGTTTTGAGGGATGGATGAATGGGTGTTAAATGTCCAGTGGCAAATACATGCATATCCTGACATAAACATGTTAATGTAATATGAATGTTAACCCTGCTTGGTACCAACAAGCTTAGCCAGATTTTGTTCACCCTTTAACATTCTGCATGGAAATGCCACCCTAACCAGACACATTGTATTGACCTGGAGCAAATCAGTCTTTGCTCTTACTGATAAATGCTGTGTGCTTAGTGGAGAAACAGTTAATATGAAAACCCAAACCAATACAAAAGACTTTTCTCTGATACCAATGTAAATGGAATTTAATGATGTATCCATATCCAAGGATTGGTAAGATTTTCAATAATTATTCGAACACATATAAAAATTCTTTATAGATACCTATCATTATTGCTATAGCTTTGACAAATCCATTTGCTGTAGTGGGTTTCACCTGAAGTTTTAAAGCCTCTGTCATGATCATCTTTAATCCAATCTTGTCCTTTACAATCTGAAGTGTACAATATTAAATGTTTACATAATGATACAGCCCTTTTTAAAAGCACATTTACCTTTAAAAATACTTCCATTACAAGTTCAAAGAAACAAATGCTTAGTTATCTTGATCTTGAGGCAGTGCATTTGCTTTACTATTTTACTGCAACTTTCAAGGCAAATTTTTAAAGCATTCAGCATCTGCTCCTTTCATTTGGTTTTATTTACAACTTTCTAAAATTGAAATTCTACTAGATAAAAAATCCACTCAATCAAATATCTTCATTTTTCTACCAAATCCAAAAAAATACCTCTGTACAAGAGCATAAATAATTTTACTTATATTTAACTATTTGGTTCTCATTTGGAAATTAAATTGTGATATCAAATTGCATTGATGGTCCCTCCTAATGTTCAATACTGCAACATTAGAGAAAAAGACCAATGCTGGTAACAGCATGAAAACGATTTTCCCCAATGACAGCAACGGTACTGCATCTACACATGTCGAAAGCTTGGAATAAAGTGCTGTGCCATGAGCTCGTGACACAACTGTCCCCAGTTATCGTTATAAAAAGTATTGTAAAGTATTTTTAAAACTCAGGATCAACAGAAGTGAAAAGTGAAAAGTAGACATCTTCAAAAAGTATACAAACCAACATTCTTAATAAAAAATTTGAAAGTATAAAGTAAATCACTGAAGGCCTACTTGAGTTATTGCATTTTGTGTGAAAACTTGCTGATTATTCTACGATTTTAAATAACAATAGCTGGTGCTACAAAAACAATTATTATCAAAAGGTACAGAGAGCTTCAAACCATTATACCCAATAATTTGGAAACTATTGAAGTAAATTTCTCAAGGCACTCTTTAATCCAAGTGCGAGATGTTTATTCAAATGAACAAAGAACAAAGGTATACTTACAACTTGTGACTGTATAATAGACTTCATAAAACAGCCATTATTGAGTAATTGTGGATTGAAGTCTAATGTATCCCATATAAAATCTTGTAGACAAAGCCAAAGTTCTGAACAAGTTGGTTCTTCATCTGAAAATCTTTGCGTCAGCTCTGCAAAATCAAAGTAATATATAAGAATAATATGTTGTGATTGCTTCCAATAATTCTTACTATGGAATCATGTTTAACAAGAAAATGCATTCATAGTACACCATGCCCTTCCCGAACTATATTTGGCACGCCTACAGGAAATTTGTTGTTCACCTTTACAAAGAAATTCACCAAATTTAGTAACCTAGGAATAACAATGAATCCACAGTACTCATTATGCAACAATTTGCACATTAACTTTAGGTAACAATATAATCACAAGTAAGAATGGCAAATTGGATGATTTGATTGATTTGCTAGATGGTATCTAATGTCCCTTGCTATACTGTTGTACAAGTTTATGGTTGGTCAGTTTTTGTGGTGCAGGATAAAAAAGGCAGACAAACTGACCTTTTGCAGGTAACTAACATTTTGCAAGTAACTAACAAACTATCATTAAGTGATAGGTCACATATTCCTTTCCATTCTGTTAATTACAACAAGCAATTTAAAAACCATATTGACATTGATCTGAACAGGTAGTTTATTCACTATTTAAACTACTCAGGAACTGAAGTCTTGATGTATGGAACAGATCTTCATGACTCTAATGACAAAATCTCACCTGGACTATTTGGATCTGATATAAAATATCCTCTTATTTGTCTTCTAACATCATAACTTAGTAATGATAAACTTAGGTGAGCCATAAGTGTTACATCATCTTTATTTTTAGACACAAAATCTTTAATTGCTTCTTGTTCTTGTACAGTACGGGCAGTAACAGGTATCAGACAAAAGGTTTTTCCTGAAATTATTTTTCAACATCTATATTACTAGTGAAAGTATTTGATTTTTTAAGGAAAGAGAAGAACAAAATTATATTTTTTTCGCAGAATGGTGATTCAATGTTCCAAAAAATATTTCAATTTAGACCTTTAATCTACTTTTTCCAAGTGCTCTTAATATTTTGTAAGTTAGAGTGCTAAAGTTGAGTATGCAACTAAAAATGATTTCATCAGCCATTTTAATGGTTTCTTTTAAAACAAATTTCAATATTAACATTATCATGCTGACAACAACATATAACTAAGACTAACCCATAGCCTTTCTTCTCCTTTTGAATGGTTTTAAAATAGCATGTCCATTGGCACCACCAAATCCAAAGGAGTTTAATCCAATATAGCCATCTGTAAGCAAAAGTGTTTTACAAATACAAAGATTTACAAATAAAAGCAACATATTTCCAGTCCACACAATTGTTCATTGCAAAATTTTTTTGCTGAATTATGAAGTGTATAGAATATCATCTAATATGCAAAATAACAATAAACCTGACAAACTTGTAATAAACAGAAAAATATGCGTCCAAATATACAGTAATAGGACACCAAAAAATATGTGTCCAAATATACAGTATTAGGACACCAAGACCCACTAGCGTATGTCCATGTTCACTGAAATTTTAATCACAATCGTAATTTTGGCATGTCATTTTAAAATTTAACCGGACAATGAACATATGTACTAAGTTTCAAGTTGTTGTGACCAAAACTTCATGGTAACATCATTCATGAAAAACTACCTTAACTAAAAACTTTAACCTGATAATGTAAGAATTTTCCAAATATCACATTTCTATGTTCATTTTTATGAACCATGAAAACGGGGTGAAAACTAAGTTTGGTATAGATAAGATAGATAAGATAAGATATTTTTTTTTTATTTTCCAATTATGGGCCCCAAAGGGCATAAACACTACAACATCAATAATTTTTTCATAATACAATACAAACAATGAGATAAAAAAAAAAAAGAAAAGTTAAACGAGAACTATTTAAGTTCTTAAAGAATACGTAGATAAAGAATCTATAGTATGTTGTTTTTTTTAATACTAATGCATTTTATTGCAAGTGTGGTTGATATAGATAACAAACAAGCAGCCCAAAAAGAAAAAAAGAAAAAATAGATATCCACATATGTATAGTACACAAAAAGTTGGATCAATTAAATATATAATAATTAGCCAAAAAGAAAGTAGAAATTAAACATGTCCATGACTCATCCTGTGTCAGCAGCAAATAGGAAAGCATTATGGTTTCCTACAGGCAGCTGACACCAGGGGGCGATACCTTATGGGCCATAGGCATGTAAAATGTGTGTAAATGTCTCTTTCCTACCTGTATCAAAAGCAAACAAGGAAGCATCATAGGTAACTTGAATGCAGTTGATACCAGGGGACGATGCCTCAAGGACATAAGAGAACATTTGAATACATAATATATCTTAACAATTATTTTTTTTTTTAATCGGCTAGTATGTTTGTGATATTCAGATGAATATAATTTTCTATGTCCAATCAAATGTATATACACACATAGATTTCCTTTAACTAATCTTCACTAAGGAAGATGTTTGTATATAAAATTACATATTATTTTAAGTAACTCAACATTTTCTACACTAAATAACCAGATAATTTTGCTTTGACTGTTCATATGATTAAAATAAGAATTATATTGTGCAATACTAGCTAACATACAATTTCTATCATCCTCAAATTTGTTACAATCAAATAGAAAATGAGCCTCATCTTCGACAGTATTGGAAGAACATTTATTACATATTCTGTTAATTCGGGGAATACCCTGATATCTACCTAATTCTATTTGTAATCCATGAGAAGATACACGTAATTTAGTAAAACTTCTTCTAAGTTCAAAATTCTTGATCAATGTTAGATATTTTTCAAAACCAAAATTTGTTTTATATAAAAGGTAGGTTTTCAGTTTACTGTCTGAAAATTTATCTATTTGTTTTTTCCAACAGCTAATAAACAATATTGATAGCTTGGTTTGTATATATTTCTTAAATTTGTATAAGGATTCACAAAATGGAGCATTTATGGCATTTGTATAGTCAATACCAAGTTTTTTAAAAACAACATTTATTGAACCATACCATGATGTTATATTCATGTGATGTAGTGTCTTTGATTGTGTATATGCCTCTTTTAATAGAGGAAAATTATTACCTAAATTCTCTAATCTATACCAGTACAATAACATTCCTTTTATAATATTAAAATATATTGGAAATCTTCCAAGTTCAGATAACACTGCAGCATTTGTTGTTTTCTTGTGTACCCCAAGTATAAATTTACAAAATTTTATATGAAGTTTCTCACAGGGTAAACCTGAATATAATTTTTCAAAAGATATATCTTCCTTCTTACATTTAGAGGAAAGAGAATTAAACATCCCCCATATTTCGCTACCATATAATAAAATAGGTTTTACAGTGTGGTCAAAAACATGAATACTTGTTTTTACATCAGGATTAAGTGATAAAAGATCTTTCCTTAATTTGAAATGAGCTTTCAGGGATTTTTTGTATAGTTCATTTTGAGCATAACTGAATGAACCAGATGAGCTTAAATATAAACCTAGGTATTTGTATTTTGAAACACATTCCAGATTTATATTCTGAAATGTGAATATCTGTTTTACATGTCTGCCTGCCTTGTTGAAAATCAGCACCTTTGTCTTATTAGTATTCACATTGAGACACCAATCTTTGCAAAATTTATCAAGCATTCCCAGCTTTTCTCGTAGTCCTTCAGCTGATGTAGATAATAAAACAATATCATCAGCATACATTAAACAATGTAGATCTTTGTCATTGACATTAACTGGGTCTCTAGTATCTGACAAATATCTGGGCAAATCATTTATGAATATCTTGAATAAATTCGGACTGAGGTTGTCACCTTGTTTGACTCCAATATCTAATGGGAAAAAATCACTTACTTGATTTTGAATTTTGACACATGATTTGCTAATTTCATACATACTTTTAATAATGTTATAAAAATAAGACCCAGCCCCAATATCTAGTAGTTTAATCTTGATCCCTGTATGTATAACAGTATCAAAAGCCTTCTGAAAATCAACAAAACAGGCAAACAGTCTACCTTCTTTTGAATTACAGTATTTGTTAATAAGACAGTTTAAAATAAACATATGATCTGCAGTTCTGGCTTTCCTTGTGAATCCAATTTGACTATCATGTATAATATTATGTTCCTGAAGAAATTTGTCCAGTCTTAGACTTAATATTCTATTAAAAAGCTTTCCAATTGCACTTGTTATTGTTATTCCTCTATAATTGTTAGGGTCACTTGTATCGTTGCTTTTAAAAATTGGTGTAATATAACCTTCAGCCCAAGATGTTGGGTATATACCTGAAGACAGACAAGTATTAAACATCTGTTGAAAACTTTTTAAAAGGAAAGTCTGTCCACTCTTTATCATATTATTACTAATGTTATCCAAGCCTGATGATTTATTGCATTTTAAGTGTGAAATGGCTTTGGATATTTCAGACTCAGTGATAACGGAGTCCAACTCGTTGAAACATTTTGAGTTTTCTAACTGTTTCAGTTTTTCACATAGCTCTGTATATCTACTTTGAAATTCACCTTTCAGTTGTGACAACTTTTGGAAATGTGATATCAAAGTTGATGGTTGTACTCCACATTTTTTTTTAGTTTCATTTTTTTCCTGTAGTTCATTAATTAAGTTCCAATACAGTTTTGGATTCTCTTCGTGCAAGGAGTCCAGCTGACTAATCAATGATTGTTTGTATTGTTTGTATTTATATTTCCTTAGTTTGGAGTATTCACGATTCAGTTTATAAAAGTGATTTTTGATAATTGGATCATATGGAAATCTTGAATAAATTTTTCCATAATTAAGCAAGTTAGTTCGAGCTTGTTGTAAACTTGCGTCAAACCACTTTTTGTTTTTTTGTTTGTTTGTGTGTTTTTTTAAAGGTCGTTTAAGTGATAGATTTGCTGCTGATAAAAAGATGTTTGAAAGTTTTGATGATGCTTCATCTACTGATGTCTGAGTAAATTGAATTGTGCTGTTGTTGAATTCTAGTATGTAGTTTTGTAGTGTATCTGAAGAAAGTGTTTCTTGAAATTTTATTGCTGAACAGTCAGTTCAGATATAATTAGGTGTCATATTTTTCAACTGGATTGGAATATCATTTTCTCCAGGAACACAATATTTTGCAGATAATTCCCACTCAAGTTTACAATGACAATCAGATAATGTGGGAATAAATCTGGATACTTTAAAATACAGTACATTTTCAAGAATTTCTTCCGACACAGCAACATAATCAACCACACTTGCACCATTGGGGGTATAGCAAGTAAAATTACCAAATGTATCACCAAGAACTCTGCCATTTAAAATTCTTATTTGTTTACTAATGCAAAAATCCAAAACTTCTTTGCCTCTTTGATCAATTTTTTGGTCTCGACTTTTTCTTGTCATAATGTTTTTGTCAGTAGGGTATGTATCAAAAATTGGAGTAAATTTTGAATCATCGTTTACTATAAAGTCATTTTCAGAGCCTATTCTGGCATTAAAATCTCCACATAACAAAATTTCACCCATTTTTTTATACTGAAAGATATCTTTTTCTATGCATTCAAAAACATCAGAAGAGAGTTCTTGGGTATATTTAGACGTAACAGGGGGGTTGTACAGTACACAAATAAATAGGTCACTTTTAAATCCAAAAATGGATTTTTCTAATTTAATCCATTGATAATCTGGATTACTGTTAATCAATATTTTGACATGAGGTTTAACGTGACTTTTCTGTAGAATTGCTATACCCCCAAAATGACGGTTATTATTTGATAATTTTCTACATATTGGATGATAATGAAATTTACCAATATTGTGTATTTGGGAATTATATCCCACATGAGTTTCGACTAAAAAAACAATGTCGTAATTCTCTATATGTTTCAGAAAAAGGGGATCCTCTGCTTTATTCATGCCCTTTGAAAATAAGCCACCTATATTCCAATAACCAAATTTTACAGATGATTGGTTTGATTTTGGCATTTTGGTTGATACAATTAAATCTGGTATAAATAATAGAATAGATTTTCTATCTATAAAAAAAAAAATAATAAAAATTTGTCTCTAAATAAAAGGAAGAGACAACAAGGAAAATATTCAGAAATGTAAATATTTGAAATAAGTAGATTTATTTAGAGGATAGTTTTTACAATGGTTTTCTAAATACAAATAGTCTATGATATAATGACAGATAATTTCTTTTCTATGTATCCTCTTTTAACTGAATAACTATTAAACTGATTTGGGTTGAATAACCTGATATCCTGGGTTAATTCAAGATCAAAAGTATGATTCAAATGTGAAAACTAAAAATAAAAATGAATAAAATAAAATAAAAAAGGCGAACTTTTATACCTAGCAGAGGTTACATATATATGACCATGTAATAGTGTGACTTCTTCACATAATGGCTGTTTCATTTGAAAAATCTATTCAAATGTGAATATGAATTTATCAGCCCAAAAAAAAGAAGAAATATATAAAGTTGTACATGTATATATAAATTATATGTAAATGACTTTAAACATGTTAAAGGAAGTCAACATAATGATATGGTAATATGTATAATATTAAAAAGCAAGTTATTCATGATGACCTCTGCCACGTCCACGTCCACGTCCTCTTGTGTTGCGCGATTTGGATCTACCTCTTGAATTTGGCATGGGAATGTTTAAGGCAGTGTGTATTCCACGCTTTAAGTTTGCCGATAGCTGAGACACGCCAGAGTCAGAGAGATGAAATTTATCTTCACTTAGTAGCTCTGCAATTGGGTTTCCATTTCGCAACATATTGCCATGATCAACAAGTAGAACATCTTTATTGTCATCATATATTTGTTTCAACAAGGCATTTATGATTTGTCCATTTGTGTTGAAAATTACACTGTCGAGTCGAGGAGTAGTAAGAGAGATGATGCAACCACTATTTTGCCATTTTTGAAGTGCAAGCTTGACAAAATCTTGTATTTCTTCTACACATTGCTGTGGTGATTTTATTTTCAAATCATTCATCAGGGAATGAAACACTACTAGATTTGGAATTATATCCGATATCTCCAAAATAGCTTGTTTAGTTTCTTCTAAATTGAAAGCAGTAACCTTATTGGTTGTAAATGATGGCGATAGCTTCTCTGCATTGATACGTTTGGTATTGGATGTACCAATTAAAATAATTGTTGGTTTGTTATCAATGTCAAGTTTAGATTTGTCAGTATATTTCGTGTCTGCATTAACAAGATGAAAATCTTCAAATCGAGAAATCATTTGGGAGCGGAGAGAGATATTTTCTTCTTGTAATTTCTCCAAGTGTTGAGTATGTCGTTTTAGAGTATCAGTTAGTTTGTCAATTTCTTCATTTTTGGTTTGTAGGCTTACCGATAGAAAGTCGATCTCAGAGTTTGAAGTAGTTAATACCTTTTTCATTTCTGCTCTAGTCTCCTCCAGTATTTGATTGTGACATTTCATTTGATCTTCATGTTGAGCTTTAATTAACATAATATTGCTTTGCTCGTGTTTTAATTTAACTTCCAAAGTCTGTTTTTCTGTTTGTACGGTTTTATATTTTAATTGTAATGTTGATATCTCATTGTCGTCTTTTCTACCTTTTCCCAAGACTAGAACATCATCATTGCATTGTTTAACAGCAGTTAATACTTTGCTGAAGTTTTCATTGTGACTGTGTTCTATTTTAGCCAGCGTGTCAACTAAATTTAATTCAAGCCTTTGAAAATCATCTTTTTGAGGTTGATCTTCTTGTACTAGTACTGATTTTAACCCAGTCTGGGAGTCAGGTAATACACAAGTGACCTTGTCAACAGGGCATAATTCATTAATGTGTGTATTGTTATTGTCATCATGACATTCGTGTGAAATACATGTATTAGTAGGACTGGTTTGTGATATGTTTGTAAGAACTTTATCAAGAATATCTTTCAGAATTGGAAAATGAATATCCACAAACTCATAATAATGACTGCCTTGTACTCTTATTGTTCCTGTTGTGACAAAAAATGTAATATTAAATTGAAGTTCCCCCTTTTTTAATACTTCAATCATCACAGAATTTCCACTGTTGTTTCGGTTTTCCCATGTTTTGGGTTCGTCATGCCATTCAATATCATAATCAGGTTCCTTTCCAAGATTGTCATAATAGTAAATATCTAGTGTTTTTATCCATGGTTGGATTCTGTCAAGGTTTGTGTAGAATGTGATGATTTAAGCATGTTCATCATACAAGTTTGGGTCAATTTGCTCGAAAAGGCTTAATTTTGCTTTACCAGTCCTCTTGTTTTGCTTTGATGGGAGAGATGAAAGAGGATAGTCATTAATGGTTTTGTCCATCGATAGGTCAATTTTCAATTTGCCTAAATCTACCATGATGACCGGCTTGTAGTCAACACGTGTTTATATAGTTATATGTGCACACACGTAAATCAGCGTAAATAAATGTTTGTAAATATAATTGATCGATCGGAAGTTATCTTAGTGTTTCTTCCTCTCTGATATAAATATTTGGTGTATTTTAAGTGTGGAAACTGTTAAAAAACCCAGGATTCTCAGAATATTTTACCAGTGAATTTTTCCACCAACCGCCATTAATCAGGGGCGATAATTCAAGTCTAGAATTTAAAACATCGCATCACAATGAACAGTTGTACTAAGTTTCAAGTCGCTGTGACTACAAATTCATTGTAAACTACCTTAACCAAAAAATTTAAAACATCGCATCACAATGAACAGTTGTACTAAGTTTCAAGTCGCTGTGACTACAAATTCATTGTAAACTACCTTAACCAAAAAATTTAACCTAGCACAGGACGAACAGACTCACGATCAGAAAACATAATGCCCCCTACAGAAATGAAAAAAAAATACATTTCACAAAAGAAGTAATTCTTTACACTTAAACTAAGGCTCATCTTCTGTATCTCACAGAAGTTTCCTTAGGGTGATTTATTATTGCCCTTGTTTACTTTTTTCCTTTCCATGTCATACGATTATACCCTGATTTGTAGTAGATGGACACAGCCAGTCATATTATGCTAGCCCTAAGGTAATTTTTAAGTTTTGAATGTCCCCTCCGTGTTTTTCACCTCTTTTTCTCTTCTATTTATCCCACTAATATCATTTTTTTTTCTTCAATTGGACAACTTCCGTAATAAAATGAATGCCAGAAAACTAAGAATCATTTTCATGCGAACAAAATAAGCTGTAAAAATTTTGTTATGGTGAACTGAAAACACTATTCTATTAGTATATTTTACAATAACTTTACAAACCTTTCAGCTCGGTAGGCTCTTTAACAACAACTATTTTTCCCTCTTTAATGGCCTCAATATTAGGATTTGGTGTTTTAAAGTTGATCTGTGGAGGTATTATACCATGTCGAGCTGCTAATATACATTTCACTAAACTTGCCAATCCTACAAAAAAATACGATTATTTCACTAAGTGTACATTATTCTGCAGAAAATTTCATTTGACTACTTTATCATAAAATCTGATGTGACTGTACCATCAACAATATTGGACCAAATGATAGCGAGTTTAGAAAATAACAGAATATATGCCAAGGTCCAAAAAGAGCAGATTGTGATAAGTGCCTTATTTGGCCTTACTAGTTGACTAAAATTTGAACATTAACTTAAGATTTCAATTTATGTCTGTTTAAAAGTTGAGGTGTGGCAAAATTGAAAACAAAGTTTTTTTTAACCCATCACGTCAAAATAAAAGCAGTTTTGACATCACAAACTAGAGGCTCTCAAGAGCCTGTGTCGCTCACCTGTATTTACTGATGCTTTGGAAATCATGTAAAATAAGGTTAAAATCATAATTAATATTAGATATTATAATGATATCTAAGATAATAACAAAAAACTGTAAAATTTCTGTAAAATTACTAACTCAGGGGCAACAACCCAACAACGGGTTGTCGGATTCGTCTGAAAATTTCAGGGCAGATAAATCTAAATCTGATGAACATTTTTGCCACCTGTCAGATTTGCTCTAAATGCTTTAGTTTCAGAGATATAAACCAAAAACTGCATTTTACCCATATGTTCTATTTTTAACCAAGTCGGCCATGATGGTTGGAAGGTGGGGTCATCGGACACATTTTTTAAACTAGATACCCTAATAATTATTATGGCCAAGTATGGTTAAATTTGTCTCAGTAGTTTCAGAGAAGAAGATTTTTGTAAAAGATTACAAAAATTTACGAAAAATTGTTAAAAATTGACTATAAAGGGCAATAACTCCTAAAGGAGTAGACTGACAATTTTGGTCATGACGACTTATTTGTAGATCTTACTTTGCTGAACATTATTGCTGCTTACAGTTTATCTCTATCTATAATAATATTCAAGATAACCAAAAACTGCAAAATTTCCTTAAAATTACCAATTCAGGGGCAGCAACCCAACAACAGGTTGTCAGATTTGTCTGAAAATTTCAGGGCAGATAGATCTTGACCTGATAACCAGTTTTACCCTATGTCAGATTTACTCTAAATGCTTTGGTTTCAGAGATATAAGCCAAAATCTACATTTTACCCCTATGTTCTATTTTTAGCCATGGCCGCCATCTTGGTTGGTTGGCAGGGTCATCGGACACATTTTTTTAACTAGATACCCTAATGAGGATTGTGGCCAAGTTTGGTTAAATTTGGCCCAGTGGTTACAGAGGAGAAGATTTTTGTAAAAAGCTAAGGACGACAGACGACGGACGATGGACGCCAAGTGATGAGAAAAGCTCACTTGGCCCTTTGGGCCAGGTGAGCTAATAAACAGCTGCGCCATGAGCACATGATACGCCCGTCGTCTTGTGTGTGAATTTTTATGCAATAAGCATAAATAGTTTCTGACATACGGCGTGACATGCGAAAACCCCCTTTTTTTTTTTACAAAAAACTCAATATCTCTAAAATAAAATTTTGAATCAAAACCAAAAATTATACAGATTTTCATATTAATATAACTAAGAAGTGTGTAAAATTTTAAGCAATAATCATAAACTGTTTTTGAGATACGGCGCGACATGTGAAAAACCCCTCCCCCTCTTTTAACAAATTACTCAATATCTCTAAAATAAAATTTTGAATCATCACCAAAAAGTATACAGATCTAAAGATTAATATAACTAAGAAGTGTGTAAAGTTCTAAGCAATAATCATAAATTGTTTTTGAGATACGGCGCAACATGTGAAAAAAAACACACACCTGTTTTAGTTACTAAGTCCCGTAACTCAAAAAGTTTTAATCTTATTTTCACCAAAAAGTATACAGATCGTTTGACCATCATAAGAAACATAAGAAACAACTATATTAAGTTTCATGAAATTTGGATAAGTCATTCTCAAGTTACGGTGCGACATGTTTACGCCGGACAGACAGACAGACGGACGCCGGACATTTGTATACCATAATACGTCCTGTCAAAAATTTGACGGGCGTATAAAAAAGGCTATTGTACTTGTTTTAATGAAAATATAAAAGATTTAAAACCAATTAATATAAAGCGCATGCAAGTACCAACTAAATAATTTACCACAATAACAAATGGGTAGAAATATGCAAATGCTGCTCTTTGATTTGTAAAAAAAAAAAGGATTTTATCTTTACGACTTTTAAATCTCCGAAAATATTCATGATACTTCAAAGATATAACACTTTAAACTTTGCTCCTACTTAACGATTATTCTTAAGCTAAAATCACCCAGTTTTGCAATACTTCAATTTTGTAGGCTGAAAAGGGCCTTAATTGCACCTTCACCTTTCCTAGGAAAAATGTTTGATATTGATCCAAAGGAAATTCTACGATATCTAGTTTAGCTTATTTTCTTGATTTGATTTATTCAAATATTGTTACTGTCATTACATTCATGTTTTTCTCTCACTTCAATAAATACTAACCAGGTAAAAATTTGAGGAAAATATCAAAAGAACATTTTTATAATTGCTGATAAAATGAAAAGGTCCTTTTTTTTAAAGAGTCCATTAAAAGTCAAAAAGGTTAGGTCCTGTGACTTGGCCTACTTTCAGCTCAAAATATCATAATGCTTGATCCAATGATATCTATTTTAACCTGATGTTTTCTGGTTTTAGGCAAGAAAAATTCAATACAAGATATAGCTGATCAGTTTTTGTATATTTTGATATTTTTTTTGAAATAACAGCACTCTACATAACATGGCACTTTTTTCACCCATTGACAGCGCTCATTTGTAAATATTCCTCATACTATGACTGTAAGCAGTAATATTTTCTTATGAAACACCATATGTAAACTACTGCAGAACTTGATGCTGTTTCAAGTATATATTTGAAAATAATGAATTTATTAAATTATGTCATCAACAGTAGCTATGTCTATCCAGCAAAACTAGAATAATAAAGTTACAAACCTGCAGTTGCTTCACTATGGCCCATATTAGCTTTAACAGATCCAATTAGTAGTGGTTTCTCTCTGGCGGAACATATAGCTTCTGTAACACTCCTTGCTTCTATTGGATCACCTACCTACAAAAAAGTATAAAATTTCAAAAACAGTGGTAATTATAAGTCTAGCATATATTCATTACTTTTGACTTTGGAATTTATCACTAATCAAAAAAAAAAAAAAAATAATCTAACAAATTCCTTGCATATCCAAAACATTTCCATAGTTTTAACATGGATTACAACTTTACTCGTCTATATTTTCTAAATTTCTTATGTAAGAGAAAGTGCAAGATTTACATGGACGAGAATTAAACCAATTCTGTCACTAAAATATCAACATGTAAATAACAGTGCTATTACTGCTATCCATACTGAAATAAAATGCTCCGCTGGGGCGCAGCTTGATACGACCGCAGAGGTCGAACCCTGAACAGTTGGGGCAAGTATGGACACAACATTCAAGCTTGATAAAGCACTGAATTTTGACTGTAATTAAATATTTGACACAGCATAGGTTTCTGACACAGAATGAAAGTGGTCTAAGAACTTAAAAAATTTTAATTTACCTATTCAAACCATATCATTATTATTTGCTTTTATATATAAATCAGAAATAACCAATTTAAAATGGAAAATTTTAAAGAAAAAAAAGGAAAAAAAAATCCCCCCCAATTTTTTGAACCCCCTTATGATTCATCACCCCCAAACTCAATCCCAGCTTTCCCTTTGTGGTATGGTACCTTGCAGTACAATTTCAGAGAGATCCATACACTTGAATACAAGTTATTGTCTGGAAACTAGAAAAATGCTTGTTTTTTGGCCCCAAATTCCTAAACATTTAGGGCAATTACCCCCAAACTCAAACCCAGTTTTCCCTTTGTGATATGGAACCTTGCAGTACAATTTCATCAAGACCCATACACTTACACACAAGTTATCGTCCTGAAACTAGAAAAATGCTTGCTTTTTTGCCCTTTTATGGCCCCTAATTACTAAAATTTTGAGGGAATTACCCCCAAAATCAATCCCAGCCTTCCCTTTGTGGTATGGTACCTTGCAGTACAATTTCAGAGAGATCCATACATTTGAACACAAGTAATGGTCTGGAAACTAGAAAAATGCTTATTTTTGGCCCCTTTTTTGCCCCTTATTCCTAAACTTTTTGGGCAATTACTCCCAAACTAAATTCCAGCTTTCCCTTTGTAATATGGAACCTTGTAGTACAATTTCAGAGAGATCCATACACTTACACACAAGTTATTGTCATGAAACTAGAAAAATGCTTGTTTTTTGCCCCTTTTTGGCCCCTAATTCCTAAAATTTGAAGGCAATTACCCCAAAATCAATCCCAGCATTCTCTTTGACATATGGAACCTTGTTATACAATGTCAGAGAGATCCATACACTTACACACAAGTTATTGTCATGAAACTAGAAAAATGCTTGTTTTTTGCCCCTTTTTGGCCCCTAATTACTAAAATTTTGAGGGAATTACCCCCAAAATCAATCCCAGCCTTCCCTTTGTGGTATGGTATCTTGCAGTACAATTTCACCGAGATCCATACATTTGAACACAAGTTATTGTCTGGAAACTAGAAAAATGCTTATTTTTGGCCCCTTTTTGGCCCCTTATTCCTAAACTTTTTGGGCAATTACCCCCAAACTCAATTCCAGCTTTCCCTTTGTGATATGGAACCTTGTAGTACAATTTCAGAAAGATCCATACACTTACACACAAGTTATTGTCATGAAACTAGAAAAATGCTTGTTTTTTGCCCCTTTTTTGCCCCTAATTCCTAAAATTTGGAGGCAATTACCCCCAAAATAAATCCCAGCATTCCCTTTGTGATATGGAACCTTGTGATACAATGTCAGAGAGATCCATACACTTACACACAAGTTATGTCTAGAAGTTACAAAAATGCTTATTTTTTGCCCCTTTTTGGCCCCTAATTCCTTAAGGTAACACGATACCGAATGACGTTACGTCACGAGTTATCGTTCCTGCTGTTGTCGGACAAACATGAAATTGACGACAAACGTAAAACCTGATGTTTTGTTATAACTTAGAACGAGTTAAACAAACAATTTGCCTTAGTCTGGTATAAAACAGTTGAAAGATAAATGTTTCTTTATTTCAAATTTACAAATTTAGATATCTGCATATTAAAAATATCTTACTATACGTACAATGTATCATATTCACAATTCTAATAATCTACATGTATGCGATCGAAATGAAAATAACAAAAACGAGAACAATAGCAAAAATCACACATATGTGAAAGTTTAAACAAAAACATAAAAAAATACTTATAAATAGTCTTTTTTTTATATAGATTAGACCGTTGGTTTTCCCGTTTGAATTGTTTTACACTAGTATTTTTTTGGACCCTTTATAGCTTGCTGTTCGGTGTGAGCCTAGGCTCCGTGTTGAAGACCATACATTGACCTATAATGGTTTACTTTTATAAATTGTGGCTTGGATGGAGAGTTGTCTCATCGGCACTCATACAACATCTTTCTATATCTATTTGTATTACATGATCGTGTAAAATGTTCTCAATATTTATCTTATATCAAAACCGTGTATAATAAAATCAAACTGCAAATTTGCGGGAATGTGTGTGCTTTTTATATTGTGACGTACACTACAAATCCCGTTAGACGTTTCAGTCCTGCATTTGAACATGGCGGAAAAGCGGCGCATGCATTCTAAAAAGGGCAAGTTCACTTGGAAAAAAAGAAAAGTAGAAGATGACATACCAGTAAAAACCAGTACTTTTGAAACACAAACAGACTTTATTTTGTGGAATGAGGGCAGAAGAATTGTAGAGCCTGGGTATTTAGCGGAACAGTTGTCTTGTTGTAAAAAATGTAAAAAGTCAACACTCAACCTGTCAGAATGTCTTGCAGAAGTACGATACGGATTCGGTAGCGTATTGAAGATAAAATGCCAGCAGTGTAAAACCGTCAATTGTGTTTACACGGGAAAACAACACAGAGATGAAAATAAAGAAAACAAAGGATTTGGAATATGGGATATTAATACCAAAAGTGCTCTAGGTAAGTCAAACAAAAATTTTTTTCCAAGATACTCACGGTCATACATGTAGATACTTTTTTGTCATATATATTTCCTTCATTTCGTCCATGCATGAACTCAGTGAAGTAAAAATAGAAAAAAATAATTTACATCTCCGTTTTATAATGATGTTTTAATTGTATTAAAACTTTCCTTTTTTAGAATCAAAATTAATATTTTTTTTAAAAGAAACTGTCTGTTGACACTTTTTATAACCGCAACAAGTGATAATGAAAACCGGCTAACCTAAACGACGTGAACTCAGCTTACCGGGTGGTGATTGCCAGTAAATGTAATTACGAGATGTTCTATTGTTTTTGCCATATATTCTATAATATTTATTATTTGTTTCCAGCAATGATACATACTGGTATAGGACCCGAACAAGTTGGATATTTCTTCTCAACCATGAATGTCCCTTCAATAACTGTAAAAGCACTAAAACAACGAGAGCGAGAAATAGGATCGATGATAGAGAAAAAGGCTGCTGACACTTGTAAACAAGGAATCGATGAGGAAATACAAATAACCAGGTAATCATTCACTGAACTAATACACAATGTATGTTAATGGGCCGGCTGTACCCCGCCTCCGGGTGCTGGATTTTCTCTCCGTGTTGAAGGCCCATTAGTTGCATTCGGCTGTTTTCTGCTTTGGTCGAGTCGTTGTCTCTTTGACATATTCCCCATTTCCATTTCCAATTTTGATCATGTATATATATATATGTGTGTAATAACAATGCTAGACAAGGGGATTTTATAAGCAGATTTAAAATGTATAGAAATTTACATGTAGCTACATCTCAAAATGTAAATCGTAAAGATCCGTACCCGATTGAATTTCCGTTTTCTTTATATCATATTAAACAAAATTGAACATGTATGTTCAGTGATAAAAATCTCGTTATTTATGTATTTCAATTATAGAACGTCAACAGAAGAGATAAACCTTCCTTCAGATATACAGCCATGTACAAGTACATGTATCATAGAAAACTCTACTGACAATGATGTGGACATTGAACAGTTACTTTCCGTCTCGTTTGATGGCGCTTGGCAGAAAAGGGGGAGTGGAAAATGTTATAATAGTAAAACAGGTAAGTTATTGAATTCTCAGATAAAATGCAGTGGTAAAAACCTAGCACAATAAACTATTTATTATGCCTAATTTTAGTCTTGTTTTTTCCATCTGTAATTTTCTTTTTAAAACTGTTATATAAAACATCGTATTTATGGTCTCGCATCGAGATGAAAGTTTCCTATAATGTTCACCTTGTCTGCATATCTGTCCGTCAATGATTTTTTTTCTGAGACAAGTGCTTGTGACCATCCAAAAGAACTTGCGGTCATCCGATGTTCAGTACTTCATTACTTTGATATTATGAATGTTGTGACAAGCTTTGGATTTCCAAATATTTTGACCTCAAGCATCACTGAAGAGACATTGTCGAAATGCGCATTTGTTGTCGAATAAATGGTAGAGTTTATTTTATTATTTGTAACCTTAATTACTTATACATTTAGTTTGGTTGTATGTAATCTGTATCTCTATAATGTGCTATAATGTATTGAATTTTTTAATCTGTTGTGATCGAAACTACTTCATTATAAATGCAAGGTACTTTGATGTTCATTTTTTTTTCAGGACATGCTACGATGATTGGAGAAAAAACTGGTAAATGTTTAGACTTTGGGGGTAAAATCAACAGATTGCAGAAAGTGTCTTTTTACAGATAAACAATCAGACCATGACTGTCGGAAGAACTATGTAGGAAGTGCAGGATCTATGGAATCGGCAATAGCAGTAGATCTAGTTTCTAATTTAATGGAAATGGGTTACAGAGTGAAATCAATAACCATGGATGAGGATTCAACTACTATATCAAGACTTCATAAGTCAGTTGATCCAAATATAGTCAAACAGTCTGACAAGAATCACATAAAGAAAACCCTTTCAAACTCTCTTTATGAAATAAAGAAAGGCCATAAGGAGT